GTTTTTACCACGATGCCCTATTACTTATTGTGCCGTAAATACTGCTACAAGTAAATGAAAATTATTCTAGTCGGTACTTTTGTTTATTTGTAAAGTGCAACATCATTTTTGCCACTTTAGAACGAGGAGAAAAACTTGGCAGAGTTAACTTCGGGAAAAAGTGGCTAATAGCTGATCTGTGCATCCCCAGTAGGCTTTGGTAGATTGTGCTCGAAAAAAAAGCATATTATGCTTTTAGCAGTGGTCATAATTTTTAAAAATTATGCCAAAATTATGCTACTTTCTGAAAATTATGCTCTCTGTCACCGAAATTATGCTACTTAGATTTTACACTGATTTTTTTAAGGAAAATAAAGATCATCAGTAGCTTAACTCTATCAATTTTGACTTTAATGAACATTCATATAGTTCACCTTCCAATCTTACAGTCTTTAGCATCGTAAATACGCATGTGCGCACCTCGAAAAGCCAAATGATTAACAAATGATACCAAAATCAACCGTTTCTGGGTTCTGAATCTGGGTCAGAAAGTTATAGCCCGAATACTTGTTTAAAGCTCTCGGTACGGCACTGGAAGTGGTGGAAGTGGACGAGGACGACGCCATCTTTGATCTGAGGCCTGATCTGGTGGCCTGAGGAGAGTCTCAGTCTCTCAGATTTGCACGGGATGACCTCTGCCGCCTGCCGGACGATATTTGACCATGGGCCTAGCACAGACCTCAATATTTTCCAAAAACAATACAGAAATAAAATACAAACTGAATTATTCTAGAGCTATGATGGGTTTTTTTGTTTTCAATGTATAAAAGCTCGGATTATGCTAGCAGTGGTAAACTGAAATATAAGCTTAAAATAATGCTCGTTCTGCTGAATTATGCTTAAAATTATGCTAGCACAATCTACCAAAGCCTAATCCCCAGTCCCCAATGATCCCAGAAACAATTGTGCGATCCATTTTGGCTCCAGTTGCCTCCTTGTTTCTAAAGTTGAGTGGCGAATGGGGTGTACATACAGTATGTCTGCCGTCACCATTAAAATACCCATTCTGTTGTTTTTTGTTTTATTTAGGAAGAGTATCGTTCTGAGGAAATTGCTCTTGATCAAGTTGTATTTACCGACAATAGACCTGTTCTGGATTACCCTGCTAGCATAGTCGCTTCGATCTTTCCTAGATAAGATCGAAGGAGACTCTGTTCGCAGGGTAATTTTACTAAAAAATTAACAAGAAAAAATTTTGGATTTTTTGACCGAAACCATGGCTTAACCCTTTGGAAAGTACCCATGTTTTGGACCTTACAAAACTGACATTTTTATCGTTATGAAAAACTTGTTTTCTTTCTAGACCATAACTTAACATTATTTCTACGGTTATTTTACTTAAAAACAAGCTAGAAAAAATTTTGGATTTTTTGTCCGAAACCATGGGTTAACCCCTTTGGAAAATACCCTTTTTTTGGACTTGACAAAATTGACATGTGTACTGTTCCAAAAGGCTTGGTTTCTAGCTAGATCACTAAACATCATTTCTAATGTTATTTTACTCAAAAAGAAACTGGAAGAAATTTTGGATTTTTTGACCAAAACCATGGGTTAACCCCTTCGGAAAATACCTATTTTTTGGACTTTACCGAAAGCCGAATTAAAAATTTTTTGTACTATTTGATTCATCCTTCGAGTAGGAGTTTTCATGAATAGAGTTATTTTTTGATGTTTTTGCCATGTGTTTAGGCAGTAGTCAAAAAGTTCGACTTTGTCTTCTTTGTAACACGTGTGAAAATTTCCGCCATTTCCCCCAGTCTTTTGCAACCTCGTCCCCAGGGCTTTTCAGTTGCCGTGTCATTTGAAAGTTATCTTAGAAAACTGGGTCCCAAGTTGTGTTGTTGTTGTGAAGCGTTATAACACACGCAAGTATCTGGAAACGCTGGTCACTGAGGTCTAACCCAACACAAGACGTCATCAAACCAAACTAAGCTCAATAAGTTACTTTTATTTCACGTTTGTACAAAATTGGAACGGACCCTATATTTCAATAAATAACTGTGCAATATCTGCATCATAACTGATCGCTAGGATCATAGCCTCTTATGCACCGGTCTCTGTGTTGTTAAGCGAAGCGTTTCGTGACGAGACCGAAAACGACTGCTTATGAGACAGGTAAGACCTCACTGTGTCTTTAAATAACATTTTAAAAGTAAATGGCAATTGAAAATACAACTGGCAAAAGTATTAACGACAGTGTACAAACTAACTCCAAATCAACGTCCCTTAATAAAAATCAAAATGATAACCTGCAAACGAAGCGCAAATTTTGCCAGGAGCTTTCAATTTTTTTTTAAAATGACCTTTTATAGTGACAATGGTTCAGAAATAATCAGCGCTACCTAGAAAAAGAAGATCAGCCTGAAGCAATCTCAGTTAAATAAATCGAGAAAAATGTAAAAAATAACATCACGCTATAAGGTCACGCACACAACAAAACCGTGAGTGTGTGACTAATTCAAAAAACGTGAATTCTATGGCTAGCTAAATACTGGAACACTGCTAATTTTGGCAAGATTGCAGGTTACAACTTCAATAAAATTGAAACAAACGTTATAACAACTACACTTCTACCTTTCCCATTCCCACGGACCAACGAAAAATTATCCACATAAAGGGTACATAGCTCGATAACTCTGATCAATGACTGATTGCCTTTAAATTAGAAAATTCTACCTGAAGTAGGTATATGATAAGTGCACCCAAATATAAACAGGGCACTACTTTAGTGAATTCATTTGGTGTGGAATATTATAATTTAAAATAGAAATGGCCACACCTGATTGTGCACAGGACACCCAAGTAGAGGCACCTGATATATTCATTGTTAGTCATCAATTGAAAACAAAATCTATTATTTAACTCTAAAAACTTATCTCATGGCAGGGAACAATTCTAACTGAACGATCCCCAACTGCAAGGAACAATGCCTTTGGACACAAGAATATTTCTCCCACGAAAAGAAAACTTGCTGACCACAAAATAATTTGCAATCCAAGAAAACTGTTGGGCAGCCGCAAGAAATAAGAGAGGTTGGTAACGACAAGGAAACTGGGCCGAGTTAAATTTCGCAAAGACGTCTGGTACTGTTACAAGGGATAGAGGAAAAAATCGGCCAATAGCTGACCGGCGCTACGCCGTTAACAATCCCAGAAATATTGCGGGGCGGAAGTCGGCTCCAGTTCCCTTCTTGTTTTTAGAGTGGCGCAGGCTTACATTAACGTTTTGGTGCATTAATTTAGTGTATACCCTTTCACTGTTCACTCTCAGTCTTGCATTCAGTCAAAGGCTAGAATACTTAAAATGGCCTAGCCCGTCAGTAGTACTTTAAAAGGGATTATTGGTTTTTTTTCGGGTATTTTACAGACCAAAATGTGAAATTGTCATCAAATTTTGACTTGAGCACTTGCGGGAGTAGAAGGGTACACACGTACGATATAAGAAGCTACAGAAGACTATAGAAGTTTTAACACAAACGTAACGTAAATTAGTCGGAGAAGAGGCTTTTTCAAAGCTGTGCAGTGCTTGTTAATTTTTAAGTTACATTATTTTATCGCCTCAAAAGGCTCTCCATAATAAATATTAATATGTTTAAATAAATCACACGGCTACTGAAGATGATAGTACGCGGCAAGAACATTATTAACATGGCCTACTACCAGGTTTAGAAACCTGATAAATTTAAGACTAAACCTTTATAATGGGATAGCCGAATTTCCCTTTTTTATATATCCCATCTATCCAAGTAAAAACTTGTCAAGGAGATTTCTTTTTATAAATACACACTATTATTGCTGTTTACTACGATTTCCCCATTGCCCCATTCACACCAAAGCTAAAACAAGTTTAACCCTCTAAGTCCCGATAGTGACCAAGATCAATTTTCTCCTAACAATATCCATACACTGTCGAGACATAAGTTATGACAATTAATAGAATGATCACCTGAGAGAAAATGCCCTGATCTGTCATCAAATTCTCTCAACTAATTTCTTACGGAAATGTATGGAGATCAGTTTGGAGAATTTTTATGTGGATACTGGGGCTTAAAGGGTTAAAACCTGCCTAGCAAAGCGCCGTTCTAAATAGGCCATTTCCCAGTTCCCCCGGGCCTCTGTATCAAAACGAGGTTAAGTGCTCAGCCTTTGATATGGAAATAATTTTTCATTCTCATGCAAATAAAACTCATTTTCACAAGAAAGGTTGTGTACTTGGTCTCATGTTGAAAGTGAGGGATTTTGGAACTTGGAAGTGACCTACTGTTTTATTTGAAAGAGCTGCCTATCAATTTTTGTCAACTTCCATTTATCAGGAAGCACTACTGAAAGAACAAGTTTTAACTTTTAAATATCTTAAGTAAAAGTAGGTCTTTCAGTTTACCGTGGACAGTTTTTCATCCTTTGCGCCTATCTTCTTTATTTTTGTTCTGCTCGTGTGAATAAAACTATTATTAAACCACGAGGCTCATTTTCAAAAGCAAAAATTTTGTTGTCCCAGTTCAAGAGAAAATGAAACAATTCATTTAAGTACCTTCAACATTGACTTTGTCTCGACGAAAATATTTTTCACAGAACTTGATACAATTTTCAATTTCGAGTTTAGTACGAAATTTTGGCGCCCAAACTTCCGGTTATCTCAGTTAAAGTGATTTATGTAAAGGAACTCTATAACCGGTCGGTGCCATAATTAAACAAACCCACAACTGGATTTACATACAATAAAGAAGTTAAACAGGCAACTCCTGCTTGGTTTTTAATTACCAGGCTGGGACGTGACGTCACAGCACCCATGCTAGTGATCTCTTCGCTAGGAAACTAACCGGGCTCTGTTTCATGTAAATTCTACGTATAATATTTGTATTGTATTGAGCTGAACACCAACATAGCCCTGTGTTACCTATGTGGTTGCAAACAGGAGGGACTAGTGTCCTAACAACTAACAGTTTCATTGCCTTGGTAACCCTACAGCTTAGTAACCTTGTCTCCATACAATGACGCGTAAGTAATTTCCAGGTCACAAACAGTAAGGTGTTTCAGCTTCGTTTCATGAAGTGTTCGAAGATCTCTTAAACTCTGCAGAGATAAGATCAAGAATTTTACATTAAACTTCAGTGGTTTGCTGCTTTTGGTGGCTTGCAAATGCAGATATTTCCAGCTGTTGTTTCTCTTCGTGAGATGCGGCTCGGTTCACAATATTTTCTTTAACGAAAGAACTCTGAAGGCAATTAAAACATAAATAAACACTACCTTTTTCCTATCCTCGTCAAGAGTCTCAAAGAGTTTGTCATGTTCTTTCTCCAGCTCTTCTCTTTCTTTTTTGTGAAACTCAGTCATCTAAAATAAGATAACACTTTTTAAGAGTCAAACCTAGACTCAAGCAACCAACAATTTTGAAATTTCTAAAGCATCAATTTTCGTTTAAAAAAATCGTAAAACGTCCATATATGTTGTCAACAGAGAATGAAACCAAACAAACCTTTTGTCTCTCCTTTACTGATTGCTCTATGTGCTTTTTGTTCTCTTCTCGTTTTCGTCTTAAAGAGTAAAGTCAACAAAAAATTAATGAGTATTCCGAAGAAATCTCTGAGTACTCAGGATCGCGCTGACATAAGACGAAAAGACAAAAGTAACACGAAGGAGCATGAATGGGATCTCAATAAACAGTAGGGAAAACATTAAGGTGATGAACAAGCATGCGGGCTTTACACAAGAACAGACTGGATGGGGTTGGAAAGGAGTAATAGCGATCAAACAGCAGTGATGTCGATAATGATAGAGTGGTTTTCGTTTGAGTGTCGTAAAACCAAAACCAAAGTAATTACTCTGGCCAATCACATAGGACACAGACAATACATTGAACCAATCAACACTCGAAGTAATTACATGTGGCGGACGCAAAGCGCGGGAAAATGCATGCGAGCGCGTCACAATTGGCTTTGGTTTTACTTCTGATTGGATGAAAAAGTGGCGCGAATCTTTTAAGCCAATCGCATCGTGTAGAAAGTGCAAAACCAATTACTTTTCGACACTCAAATGAAAACCGCTCTAATGATGAGGATGATGATAATAGTACTGATGATGGTGATGATCCAAAGTAGAGAAGTCTAGTCAAGGACTAATAGAAGAGGGTGGAGAAATTAGACGAGAAATAGTACACTGACTTTTACAAATAATGGGACAAAGGATGGGGAAGACAAAGAAAAGAAGCAAAAAAGAAATCCTGTCAAGAAATATTGAGCAGTTGCGAGGAGGTACAGGAAAGAAAACAACAAACCTTTGTAGTTCATCTCTATTTGTATGGTACCGCGACAAAAGCTTTAATTCCTGCCGATTGTGATCATCTTGGCCTTTTCTCAAGTCATTCATTTGTCTTCAAGGTAATAAAAATATTTTATTACAGGAAATAAACTAAACTGTATGCTTAAGAAAAAAAAGGCGGCAAAGGGAGTATTTTGGTTGACATTTTTCCTCTTTTGCAGAAAACAAGACTTAGAGTAACATTAAGAGAACAAAACCATTTTCTTGGGCAAATCAGAGGATGAAAGAGTACAATAATGAGGCCACTAGAAATACGGGAATTGAACAAAATAAAAAAAGCAGCATTTACTTGGAATGCACATCCGCCAAAAGCTTCATCTTGTCTTCTTGCGACAGACGCATCAGTCTTTCCAGCTCTTCTTGTTTCTAGACATAATAAAAACAGAAGGATGCCATGTGAATGGGGTAGTGACATTTGCAGGAAGGAAGTATTAAAAAAAGACGTTCTGTTGCAAGGCAATATGGTACAATGATCATTATAGCGTTAACTATAGTTTTACAGCGAAAGCGAGCACGGACGTTTTTGAGCAACGCACGTCAACTGGAAGTGGAATTTTTGCATTCTAGGGCGGTAGTTTTGCCCACATTTTCGGCAGTTCGTCTCTATAAGAGAAAAGACGTTTAGACATTCAAACTTCGACACTTCCGAAGGCTTCACTTCCGGTTGACGTGCTTCGCTCAAAAATGCTTTTATCTCAGCGAATGCCTCTCCCCGTTCCCTCTCCATCTTCGCCGTTTTCCCTTCTTACATCTCGTTACCCTGTCTCCACTCCCTGAACCCCGGAAACAGCATTAGTTCTAAGGAAAGTGAAGGAGATCCCGCAGAAATCAGCATAGAGAGTAGCCATTAAGAGGCAAATTTTGCTCAAAAGACTCCAATGGACCAATTAAAAGCGAGACTTTTCGTATTGTAAGACACAATCAATTGGCCATTTTCACGATGACGACATTTGACTAAAACTACCGGATTTCTTTTCGCTTTTGCTTTCCTATTCAGATTTGTCAATCCTGGCGACGTTTGAAAAACAATAGCGTTAATTTTCTCAAGAACAAAAAACTAAGGCATTCTGGTAGTCGTAGTAAGATGTAATCGTGCAATTGTCTTATAGCTAGACTGCAAACAGTAGGTTGCTAACTGGTTGCTCCTTGCACCGACCCCTTTACTACATTGATAAAGGCCATAGAAAATTTGGGGACGTTCCATGGCCGCTCTAAATATATGAGTATAGTGATTGCCTATCCACCTACAGGATGTAGTTGTTTCTCTGCTAGCTCCAGCTGTTCGTTTAGTTGCTTTCTGAGGAGTTCAGTCATCGAGTCACGGTGTGTACGTTTCAGAGTATTAATCTGAAAGTCAAAGCAACACAAATAAACTAATGAGGTCAATTTACGTTATTTCCACGTCAAGGCAAAAAGACGCCAAAATCATTTAAGGCGTGATTTAAAAAAGTGGAGATTAAGTTAGACAAGTCTGTAGGATAGGCAAAGGGGAACATTTTGCCTCTAAGATTCTGGGATACCCCACCCACCGCAAACAAGAAAACAAGAAGCTCGGAAATGTTATTTTCAGTATTTTCTGTCATGCATTTGTTAAGAAGTTATTAAGAAAAATAAACGTTTGCCCTCAGAATTTCAAAAAAGAAAAAAACTCTTTGAATGTGAAATATAACAAGAGAGGATTTAACCTCTAACTTCTTGTTTTATCTAACCCCATAAGTTATTTCTAACACGCAAGTGCGCATGCAATGGCGTACAGGTTGATACGTGTCTGAGTACGTTATTTATATTTTAAAATGCAAGAGGACAAAAGTAACACCAAGGCGTTTGATATATATCTTTTATAAAGAGTTTGTAGACTGTGCGTTCATTTAGTCATATACGAGTATATTATGATAGAGGTCAATATTTCAACGTTTATTTGTTTTATAAGCCTGATGGTAGTTTAGGAAAAGAGAGTTTACCTGCTACAAATGTTAGAACTTTATTAGTGCTTATGATCAGTTAAAGATAAATTACTGCAAGCTCAGAATTGTGGGGAATCAAGTAAATGTATCAATATATATATAGCTGTTTTGAACGCGTTTACGGAACCTCATGCCCTCGTTTTGTGCGTTAACACGTTTCTTTGAGATGAAAGATTTTACACTCAATTAGTATTAAACCTGCATCACCTCATTTCTCATCCTTACAACTCATGTCACAGAGTGTACAGAAATATTTTAAATTAATCAGAGCAATCACAACTAACATCGCCACAAATGATTTGCAGTTTCGGCGACGTTACAGGTTTGCGTCTTGTATTATTGTACAACAAAGCGTTTGGCAATTCCTAAGTTAGTACACACCCTATGATTGGTCAAATAATGGAGATATTTCCATCTCGAAAAGACCCCAAACTGGTACTTTCAAACCCAGTTAACGATTTTAAACTTTGATTACCATCATTAACCGTTCTTCTTTCTAAAGATATAAGTACTAAACTGCCTACATAACAAACATTAACACTGAATAAGAATCTGAGTTTATGGTTGTCACTGGGGAATCAGCAGTCTCAAGTTTACAAAAGTCATACACTAGCTAGTTACATTTATGTTGTTCAAAATTGTTGTTTAGTTACCATTAATCCGTCAATGATCAATGGATGTTTTTATATGATGTACATTGCTAAGGTATATTTCAATCGTTTAGGATATTTAACATAAATGACGACACTTCCCTTTACGAAGAACAACATTTTGCTTAATTGTGATTGCTATATAACCAACATTTTCGTGAAATTAAAATTTGCCAAATTAGGTTATGCAGTAGAGCTTGAATTAATCAGTTTCTTGTATTCAATCAAAGAATCAGTTAAGCAGAAAATTGACAAATCCAAAAACTCTTGTTGTTGTTACAATGTTAAACCACGAATACTGTGATGAACCCTCCAAGCCCTTCCCACAAAAAAATCTGAAGTTTTTTTCGTTGTACAAACAGTATGTGTATGAACATCGTAATGCAAAAATACAGTGGCATATACTAACACTTATCTCTCCGTCAGGATCAATTGTTGGTACCTAAGGAGTTCCAAGAAAACAAACCAAACCAGTTTTAAGCAGGATGTTCCGTTCACATTGATTTCACTTTTAGTGCAATGTTGTGCAGTTTATACTTTTTCACACCAATGCTTAAACATGTTCAAACGTGAACGGTTTTTGGCTCCGAAGCTGACGTTCTTTAAAGACGCTCTCACTGCTCAACAATGGTGATGTGTCCGTTCGAGACGTGAGCTTTTGTAATCTCTTTACGGCGGACAAATTTTTGCCTTTTTAAGTGCCTTTAATTTCCTGTATTTATTGTGGTAACTACCAGCATCGTATATTTTATATTTATTCCAAATTTTAGGAAACATTCTGAACTTCATCTAAATATGATTAAGCAATGGAGTGTACATATTGTACTTCATTGGTGCAATACAACGAGTTATGGGTGCTGCTCAACTCAACTGACTGTCTGTTATCCTGGTGATTTACCTTTGACACAGTTATAGAATACTGTACAACACGTCGTTAACACCATACCACGATAAAAAACGAAAATACGGTATCGATAGAAAAAGTGAGAACTGCTTTGATAAAAATGCAATAAATTATAGACACTGACTGAAAAATAAAATCACGAAATTGCAAAAAACGTCAAGAGATGGAAAATAATACTTCGTACTACAAACATGCAAGGCATTATGCATGTAGCCTGTAAATTAAAAAAAATGTCTGATACATTGTTGGATTTTATTGAAGCAACTGAGGGAGATTACCAAAAACAACCGGACAACAAAATGACTAATTCATGAAGNATATGATTAAGCAATGGAGTGTACATATTGTACTTCATTGGTGCAATACAACGAGTTATGGGTGCTGCTCAACTCAACTGACTGTCTGTTATCCTGGTGATTTACCTTTGACACAGTTATAGAATACTGTATAACACGTCGTTAACACCATACCACGATAAAAAACGAAGATACGGTATCAAATAGAAAAAGTGAGAACTGCTTTGATAAAAATGCAATAAATTATAGACACTGACTGAAAAATAAAATCACGAAATTGCAAAAAACGTCAAGAGATGGAAAATAATACTTCGTACTACAAACATACAAGGCAATATGCATGTAGCCTGTAAATTAAAAAAAATGTCTGATACATTGTTGGATTTTATTGAAGCAACTGAGGGAGATTACCAAAAACAACCGGACAACAAAATGACTAATTCATGAAGAAAAAATACAACACTGTGTACAATAACAACACGAGATATCATGTATTACACCGTAGCAACTAATTACATAAATAAAGCCGTTAGATTCCTTTATAAAACTCCAATACTCTTTGTTGGACAAAAGCATTACAGACACAAAATGTCTCTACAATACGCTGCATGCTTGAGAAATAATATGACTAAAGGGAAGAACATAAATCATACCAAATAACACTGAATGAATTCAAGTGTTAAGGATGAGTCACATGATTTACAACCTGATTGTTCCTTTTTTGACACTTTTCTGCTGTCTTGCGCCACTGCTCAAGTTTTTTTTGTCAGGTTTTTGTAATTATCCTAGCTTTTTTCCTCTGGTTACCCTACCTTGGTTTCATGGCCTCGGACTAAGTCGTTCATATCCCCCACTCCCTTACGGTAACTTTCTTCATAGTTTCTGCAGATGGAAAACACAACAAGCAAGGTAATTCTTCCATTGTCAGTGTTTAAAAGTCGTATGACAAACCGAACGGTCGTCTTCTTTGAGGGACGAATGCCTGTGAAAGTTTATAACACTCAGAATAGTCACACTATAATCCTAAGTAAGGTAAAACATCCCATAACTACCAAGATTTGACGGTCACTTACATACCGTGGTGATATAATCATCATCATCATCATCATCATCATCATCACCTACACTATATATAATTACCATCATTATTATTTTTCATCAGTGATACTTACCCTTTTTTCTCTGCCTTTTTAAGCTCCTTGTCATTCTTCTTCTTTGTTGAAAGTTTTTCCTTATCCAAGTCTTTGAGCAACTTATCTTGCTCTAGTAAGTGGCTCTTTTGCAGTTTGTCTTTCTCCTAATATAGTTACCAAATGTATGCATTAGGGCGTAATGAAAGACTAAAACTTTTTAAATACTTGACGTTTATTTCTCTTACCCACTAGAACTGTGTTCACACTAAGTAATATGTTCAGAGCTACTTTGCTGTAATTTTGAGAGCAGTGACATAATTTAACTACTGAAAAAAGCACTGAATTCTTACCTTTTCATGTCTTTTAACAATCACGTCCATTTCTTTTTGATGCTTTTGATTCAGCTTCAAAAAGGCCTAAAGGAATTGGATAAAGAGAAGTACATTTACTAATAACACTTCACCTGCAGTCAGCGATGTAATGGTTTAGGAAACACCGAGGATTTGGGACGTTTCTATTTTTCTTTTCTCTTGTCGTGTTGCTTTAGGACGATTTTTTAAAACCTTAGTGCCCCACTCTTACAAGTTATTTAACGTTAGCAGCAAATGACAATAATGTTTAATAAAACCTTGGCAACAACATAACAAAAGCCAACCTTCTGTTCCTTAAGTTCACTAACGGAAGCTGGTTCTACTTTTGTATCTGAAAAAATAATGAAACGGGAAATCACTTCTGTTAGGTCCATTGAAAACGTTCCAGAACAAACTCTTCATTGGAGGAGGGTAAGGGGATGACCCTTAGACCCTAGGGGCGGGGGGGTAGGGGGGTGGTGGAGGGTTATTCAGGATTAAGATCTATAGCATTCGCACATGATTACGATTGAGTGCTGGGCTTTTAATGGCATACAAAGCAGGCTCTCATGTTGGGAATTGGTGCCAATTTTTGTGTTGAGTCCGGCAGAGGGTTACTGGCCGACTCGTGTCTTGGATTCAGTGCTCTGGCTCTGGTTCTGGCTCTGGCTACACCTGCGGGCAATTTATTGAAAGAGGGGGTGGGGGGAGAGCAAAGAGAGAGAGAGTTACATCACTCGCTTCTCTACAAGTAAGCATGCAAATACATCAACCTCGTACCCAAGGCTTTTCCCTCAGACAAAGGGAGGGGAAGAAGAGAAAAGCCCTGGGAAAGAGATTGCAAGAAGGTTAGATAATAAGTGCGGTAATACATGATAAATGTATTTAATAGCAAGTTTTTTAAAAGGCTGATGCAGTTATCAGGACAATTCTGTTGACATAAGAAAATTCAGCCCAGACAGAGAGTCATGAGTTTACTGAGATGAAAATGTGCATATCATAGCTGTATGAAAGATCCTTTCCTGGAATTCGAAAAATTATTTCATCATTACTTATCTAATATTCTGACACACGTGCTTCATTACCCATTACCAGTACAAACAAAGTATTTAATATGCCAATGCACGCAGGAAAATACTAAACTTGTTTTCTTAAGGTGACTCGACCCAGTTTTTTTGGGGGGGGTACCATCCTACTTTGAAGCTCTCTGGTATCCCCACCTTTACTTTTATCGTAAGTCTAACACATAGAATGGATAACATATAGATCAATCTACAATAACTGTAAGACGCTAGTATCTCCTTTTTTAGTGAAAAAAATAAAGAAAGGGGAAAAACCTTTTTTTCGGTCCATTGAAAACGTACCGAAAGAAGCTATTGATTGGGGGGGGGTAAGGGGGTCACACTGGACCCCTGGGGGGGGGGGGAGGGTAATTCAGGATTAAGATCTATAGCATTCGCACATGATTATGATTGAGTGCTGGGCTTTTAATGGCATACAAGCAGGCTCTCATGTTGGGGATTGGTGCCAATTTTTGTCTTGAGTCCCGCAGGGGGTTACTGGCTGACTCATGTCTTGGATTCAGTGCTCTGGCTCTGGCTCTGGCTTTAGGTACACCTGCGGCAATTTATTGAAAGAGGGGGTGGGGGGAGGGCAAAGAGAGAGAGAGAGTTACATCACTTGATTCCCTACAAGCATGCATGCAAATACATCAACCTCGTACCCAGGGCTTTTCCCTCAGACAAAGGGAGGGGAACAAGAGAAAAGCCCTGGGAAAGAGATTGCAAGAAGGTTAGATAATAAGTGCGGTAATACATGATAAATCTATTTAATAGCAAGTTTCTTAAAAGGCTGATGCAGTTATCAGGATGAATTCTGTGACATAGGAAAATTCAGCCCAGACAGTGAGTCATGAGTTTACTGAGATGAAAGTGTGCATATCATAGCTTATGAAGGACCCTTTCCTGGAATTCGAAGAATTATTTCATCATTACTTGTTTAATATTCTGACACACGTGCTTCATTACCCATTACCAGTACAAACAAAGTAATTAATATACCAATGCACGCAGAAAAAAACTCAAGTTGTATTCTTACTTAGCGTGTTTATAACTGTTCCTCAAAAACGGAAATAGTGAATATACCTGGTGAAGTATTACATGATTTAAAGCACCAGTTATAATATAAATTTACATTTTTAACGAAATATAAAGCAAATTACAGACAGACTAGGAAACAAAAGCGGCTTGTGTTTATAAGTTGTTAATTTAATGAACATGGAAAGCAAACCTACAAAAATGCTGGAATGCCATATGTTCTTCTTTAATACTACCTCCTAAAGAAAGGAAATGGCTTTAATTTTAAAATCTTTCCATAATATGATTAAGCAATGGAGTGTACATATTGTACTTCATTGGTGCAATACAACGAGTTATGGGTGCTGCTCAACTCAACTGACTGTCTGTTATCCTGGTGATTTACCTTTGACACAGTTATAGAATACTGTACAACACGTCGTTAACACCATACCACGATAAAAAACGAAAATACGGTATCGATAGAAAAAGTGAGAACTGCTTTGATAAAAATGCAATAAATTATAGACACTGACTGAAAAATAAAATCACGAAATTGCAAAAAACGTCAAGAGATGGAAAATAATACTTCGTACTACAAACATGCAAGGCATTATGCATGTAGCCTGTAAATTAAAAAAAATGTCTGATACATTGTTGGATTTTATTGAAGCAACTGAGGGAGATTACCAAAAACAACCGGACAACAAAATGACTAATTCATGAAGAAAAAATACAACACTGCGTACAATAACAACACGAGATATCATGTATTACACCGTAGCAACTAATTACATAAATAAAGCCGTTAGATTCCTTTATCAAACTCCAATACTCTTTGTTGGACAAAAGCATTACAGACACAAAATGTCTCTACAATACGCTGCATGCTTGAGAAATAATATGACTAAAGGGAAGAACATAAATCATACCAAATAACACCGAATGAATTCAAGTGTTAAGGATAAGTCACATGATTTACAACCTGATTGTTCCTTTTTTGACACCTTTCTGCAGTCTTGTGCCACTGCTCAAGTTTTTTTTGTCAGGTCTTTGTAATTAACCTAGCTCTATTCCTCTGGTTACCCTACCTTGGTTTCATGGCCTCGGACTAAGTCGTTCATATCCCCCACACCTTTACGGTAACTTTCTTCATAGTTCCTGCAGATGGAAAACACAACAAGCAAGGTAATTCTTCCATTGTCAGTGTTTAAAAGTCATATGACGAACCGAACGGTCGTCTTCTTTGAGGGACGAATGTCTGTGAAAGGTTATAACACTCAGAATACTCACACTATAATCCTAAGTAAGGTTAAACATCCCGTAACTGCCAAGATTTGACAGTCACTTACATACTGTGGTGATATCATCATCATCATCATCATCATCATCATCATCACCTTATCTACACTATAATTACCATCACTATTATTTTCCATCAGTGATACTTACCCTTTTTTCTCTGCCTTTTTGAGCTCCTTGTCATTCTTCTTCTTTGTTGAAAGTTTTTCCTTATCCAAGTCTTTGAGCAACTTATCTTGCTCTAGTAAGTGGCTCTTTTGCAGTTTGTCTTTCTCCTGATAGTTACCAAATGTATGCATTAGGGCATAATGAAAGATTAAAACTTTTTAAATACTTGATGTTTATTTTTCTTACTCACATAGAACTGTGTTCACACTAAGTAATATGTTCAGCGCTACTTTGCTGTAATTTTGAGAGCAGTGAGATAATTTCACTACTGAAAAAAGCACTGAATTCTTACCTTTTCATGTCTTTTAACAATCACATCCATTTCTTTTTGATGCTTTTGATTCAGCTTCAAAAAGGCCTAATGGAATTGGATAAAGAGAAGTACATTTACTAATAACACTTCACCTGCAATCAGTGACGTAATGGTTTAGGAAACACCGAGGATTTGGGACGTTTCTATTTTTCTTTTCTCCTGTCGTGTTGCTTTAGGACGATTTTTTAAAACCTTAGTGCCCCACTCTTACAAGTTATTTAAAGTTAGCAGCAAATGACAATGATGTTTAATAAAACCTTGGCAACAATATAACAAAAGCCAACCTTCTGTTCTTTAAGTTCACTAACGGAAGCTGGTTCTACTTTTGTATCTGAAAAAATAATGAAACGGGAAATCACTTATGTTAGGTCCATTTAAAACGTTCCAGAACAAACTCTTCATTGGGGGAGGGTAAGGGGATGACCCTTAGACCCTGGGGGGGGGGGGAGGGTAATTCAGGATTAAGATCTATAGCATTCGCACATGATTATGATTGAGTGCTGGGCTTTTAATGGCATACAAGCAGGCTCTCATGTTGGGGATTGGTGCCAATTTTTGTCTTGAGTCCCGCAGGGGGTTACTGGCTGACTCATGTCTTGGATTCAGTGCTCTGGCTCTGGCTCTGGCTTTAGGTACACCTGCGGCAATTTATTGAAAGAGGGGGTGGGGGGAGGGCAAAGAGAGAGAGAGAGTTACATCACTTGATTCCCTACAAGCATGCATGCAAATACATCAACCTCGTACCCAGGGCTTTTCCCTCAGACAAAGGGAGGGGAACAAGAGAAAAGCCCTGGGAAAGAGATTGCAAGAAGGTTAGATAATAAGTGCGGTAATACATGATAAATCTATTTAATAGCAAGTTTCTTAAAAGGCTGATGCAGTTATCAGGATGAATTCTGTGACATAGGAAAATTCAGCCCAGACAGTGAGTCATGAGTTTACTGAGATGAAAGTGTGCATATCATAGCTTATGAAGGACCCTTTCCTGGAATTCGAAGAATTATTTCATCATTACTTGTTTAATATTCTGACACACGTGCTTCATTACCCATTACCAGTACAAACAAAGTAATTAATATACCAATGCACGCAGAAAAAAACTCAAGTTGTATTCTTACTTAGCGTGTTTATAACTGTTCCTCAAAAACGGAAATAGTGAATATACCTGGTGAAGTATTACATGATTTAAAGCACCAGTTATAATATAAATTTACATTTTTAACGAAATATAAAGCAAATTACAGACAGACTAGGAAACAAAAGCGGCTTGTGTTTATAAGTTGTTAATTTAATGAACATGGAAAGCAAACCTACAAAAATGCTGGAATGCCATATGTTCTTCTTTAATACTACCTCCTAAAGAAAGGAAATGGCTTTAATTTTAAAATCTTTCCATGCAATAGTTAAATTAACTGGAAAAAGGATGTAGGCACTTATCATTTTAGCCTTTTAACTGAAATGTTAGAAATTTTATGAGGTTACGTTTAGCAGAAAGTGTCGTTAAGAAGTGAGTGATATTAGAACTTATTTGTTCTCATGGTATTAAGTTTGTTATCACGCAAATTAAGGCTGCGTTCGCAATGACAGAGTCAAAGAAGTAATCTGAAGGGCAGAATGGGCAGAGTTAGGTATTTTACCTGCTAACATGATTGTCAGAGTCGCAAGTGGGAGTTCAAAGAAATTACAATCAACAGACATGAATACTGTGATTGGTTAACTGGAATTCTTTGGCTTCAGCTTACGACACCAACAATCTTGTTTTCACTAGATCGTTATAAAATTGAGAGAGACTAAAATGGAGTCATAAGAAAATGGAAACCTTCTGATTCTTTTTGACTCCAACCTCTTAAAGCTTAATGAATGTATGTAACACTCTGATTTTGGATTTTCTTTCTAGGTCATTAGCCTTCTAACGAGTCCGCATTCTTTGCTTTTAAGATACATGATGTTAAACTTATTTGTCCTGCTAGCAATAGGTTAATTATTAAGGACTAAAAATGACCTTCCTTTAGGTGAGTTATTTTGATAAAGGTTTATTAATGTTAAATTATTAAAACTACCTTACAGCTGTTAATATTGGTGTTAGATTACATTTATATTACATTAAAATATATTATTATTCTGTGACATCAGTTTTCTCCCTAAAAAATAAAGCCACAAGTTCATTCACAAAATTAAAGCGAAAGTTCACAAATTACACATTACTTAAAGATGGAATATGATTAAACTTTTCTACAGTTTAAAACTAAAAGGCAAAAAGCTAATATTAATGATGAGAATTTAGATTATGTACTCACCTGATGGCTCCCATGTGGGCTTAAGACGTTAACTTTAGCAATTTTATTTTACAAGCGGGAATTCTGATTAGAAAAAATCACAGCACTCCAAATTTCAGCTTGCAATCCAATTCATATCATTAAATTAATGGTTTAGGCCTTCCAAAGTATATCTTAGGGAGTTAAAAGATGCTCCTTGCTTAATTAATTTTTTTACTTCATTTTATTGTAAACAAGTTTGTTTAAATACATACTGAATTCTGCATTTAATCCTCAAGTACAGTAATAATTTTGATAACTTTTAACCAAGTCTTTATTTCAGATTTAATGTCAATACAACATATTTCCCAAAAATTATTATCCTTTTTATATTTTCCTTTTAAAACATATATTTAACTTTTTTCCCACTATTTTTCCTAGGATATTGTAAGTGGCTGAAGTTTGACATCTCACAAATTCGTTTGCTATCGTGAGATATGTTAAAAGGTATTTCTTAGTATGTTTAGAATCTGGCTCAAGAAATCAGCTACATAAAGACATTATTTTCTTGCACTTAATGCTTTCGGTGGTTCAAAGAGCAATTTTTTAAAAAAGCAATTACAAAAATATTGAAAATAGAAAAGAAACATGGCAGGATAAGAAGTCTTTCCCACATGAGATCCTCCAGGCACTTACCTTCACTGCTAAAACAAATAAGAGAGTGCGTCTTGCCTTCTCGCCTTTTGGTGCTTCTGGCTCTTCTTGCTAGAGGGTTTTTTTCCATTACTGGGGGAGCCTGGAGTGACAGAGAGCGTGCCGTAAAAGGATGAGACATGGGTGTTTTCATTCCTGTGATGCTGTCCCGGGAACTGTCTCGTCTCAAGCTTTCTCTGAACATAAAATCTGAGCCACGCCTCTGACTGAGATTGGGTATTTCAGCAGCAAGTGATGCTGTGAAGTTAAAAAAGATTTAATAAATAAATAAATAAAAAATGCATCCATTGTTGAGTTATATAAGCAAGTGGAAATTGTTTACTTATTGAACTCACTGTTTGTGTCATTTCTTTTAATTGACTTCCTCTTCTGTTCTTTTATTGGTAAGTTACTTCCTTGTTTTACTGCGCTCACTGGCTTTGATCCATCATCCTGGACCTTTTCAGTCTGAGAGGAATCCTGAAGAAATGACAGAGAATAATACAAAGAAAAGGATCAATTGAGGTTTCTGGGTAACTAAGCACCTACCCCTCCCCTGAGTCAAAATTTTGCCCCAAGTGGGGAGGGGTAGGTGGAGTCAATAGGTCTTTGCAGTTAAAAACAAGATTTCTTTTGTCTTCTGTATAACTCCAAAGATTGATTGCGATGACTTAAAGTAAATAGTGGTAGTAGTAATAGTAATAGTGACTGACAATCGGTTTGACAATAGCCTTGGGATCAAGCCGTCTACATCAAAAGGATTATTGACTATTCGCTGCAGAGACTACAAGGGGTCAATATTATTACCATCGCCATCATCATCATCACCAGCAGCAGCAGCAGCATTGTTAAGTAGATAATCATCATTACAATGTGCCAGCTACATGTATATTCAAATCAATTCAAAGTAGACAGACTGCAAATTATCGTAGTTACTAAAAAATATATCTACGTGTCCCAACTGTTCATCAGTAGGATGCCTAAAATGCGTGCAATTCCACAATTTATTGGTTTCGGCTCCATTAAATCCTATACCAATTGCAGAACATTTTAGGAGGAGCCACCCACCATGTGAGCACAGTGGCGGACAACACATATAAGTGAGGAAAATAACGCAAAGTAAAACTGTGCAAAGAGTGTTACTCTTTGTTACTAAAATCTTGAACTAATTTTCATTGTCATATCATTTCGTTTGTACCATTTTCCTGAAATATATGCTTAAATACTTACATCTTCAAGGTCTTCCTCATCTAATAATGACTTTAACTGCTCTTGTCTTTTGTCAGCTTCTTGATGATAAGCAATAGGATCACAAAGAGCAGCAGCAAAATCTGTGGGCAAAAAGAACAGTGAACTGCACGCTAGACTCCTAAATTTGCCCAAAGTTGACATGGTGATAGCATTCACTTTGAGGGTGCATAATGCATTGATCATTTTTTGAAATAAGAATACGCAAACATTTTGTAGCAAATCTTTTTTTGGACCACTGGAATGCTACATGCAACTTCTAATTTTATTTTTAGGTGGATTTTTAGTTATCTCAAAGCAATGGACACTGAAACAAGTTATTTCTAGAGTTTATTCCATCCATTTCTACTCCAATATACAGTCAATTGAACACACCTGAAGTGGTAAATTAGACACAACATTTCCACAAGGATACACAACCTACCTTCAAAGCCTGATGGAACATAGTCTTTGGTAACTATGTGTACAAACAATGTTGGCAAACAAAGGGGCTGGTTTGACTCATTTCTGAGCTTGATGTGTCGATAACCTGCCAACAAAAGATCATAATCAAAACTGCCTTTGATCCAAGTATGTAATATTTCCTGTCAATGATTTTCATAGATTGCATACAGCATTATGAACTTTTGCCAAGCATTATACCCGGCAAGTAGGATGGTGTGGATAGGATGTAAGACACTGTGTCTTAAGAATGATCACTACCCATTTTAGGATTATAAAATTAAATGGGTACAGATGGTATACTCTATCTAGGGTGACCTGTTGTGATGAAGTAGCATCTATTCCAAAAAGATTAAAAATACTTTTTTCAAATTAATTGTCTCATTCTAAAGAGACTGAGTTAAGTGCCAGCTGCATAACTCCAATGAATTTCTAGTGGAACCATCTTCAAAATGAGCATTTAAATTTTGAGACATTATAGCCTGGAGGCTAATAACTTAGACAGTCATCAGTCAAAAAACAAAACTTCCTTTTTCAACCCACCTGGACTAAGGCCATCAACTGGTAAAACTCTCTGGCCAATGAATTTGCCACTTTCTTCATAAACGGCTATTCTTAGAACTGCTAGACTTGGAAGAACCACCTGATAATATACAAAATACAGTTACGTCTTACATCAGAACATATGATAACAGTATATGAAAGGAACAGAAGCAACATTGATGCCACCAAGCTATGCTTAAATTCAAAAAAGTGTCATGAACAAACTGAATTAATGCATGGTTTTGATAGGGGGAAATTGGGGAGGAAAGAACAGGGCAGGCTTAGCGAACACCTGCAACTCTCTTGATCCACCCATGATATGGGTGATGTCATGACATAAAAAAAGAAGATGATAACCAAGTGGCTCAATTCCTCTCTAAACATTCAAGCCATGTTTACCTTTTTGAACACAAAAGGCTCTTCCTCGTAGACTGGATTGATACTATTATTTGGTATAACTTTTGTCTTGTACTTTCTTCTGACAGTGTCAGCAGGCAAGCCAAACATATCTACTTCAACATAGGTACCGACCTTCTTTTCTGATAACCACTGGCCAGAGATAACCTATTGAAAGGTAAAAGGTAAGGTAAAGGTGCACACAAGCCAAAGGCCAAAGTGGCCAGAGCTTATCCCAGTTTCCTTAGCATGAAGGATGCTAAGGACAGGATGCTAGTCCATCCTAGGGTCCCCCCCCCCACTCAGCAGTATATCGCCCGTACCCATTTATACACCTGGGTGAGGAGATACAAGATACAAACTGGAGTAAAGTTCCTAGTCTAAGGAAACAATGTGACAGGCAAGGCTTGAACCCAGGGTCCCTCCCGATCTTTAACTGCTGGGCCACGCATTCCTCCACTGAAAATCACCAAAGATATCGTTATCCTACAGAATCTTTAATCTCCCCACAACACTGTTCTTAAAGCAGAACCTACAGTGAATTTCTCTGTTGTCCAAGCTAAGCACATTAATATCATAACCCAGTTCTTCAAGAAGAATACTCAAAATTCAGAAACATGAATGCATAGGGCAAGCTTCATGTTTACATTTAAATTCACCACTGAGTGATTAGTAAGCTCTCAAATACACGTTGAGAAATCTAATACATCCAGTTCATCGTGCAATTACCTTTACTGTGACTGCACCAGCAATAATTCCATCCACTGTTGACTCAACAAAAGGGTCAAATGTTTTATCAGCACGGCACATAAAACTGGGCTTGAGGACATACCTGAAGTGGTCAAATGATAAAAGAGTGAGAAATTTTCTCTTAACATGTGCATCTTTTTAGAGTGACATAAATTGCACACACAGCTGCAATTATTACTTCCCCTTTCAACAAAACTAAAGATGAACCAATGTGACCTTTGCTTTTAATTAAGTGAAAAAAATTTGGCTTAATCCTATTTCAGTTCTAAGAAGACAATCTCACTTACTTACCCACAGCGTCCATTATATTCAAAAACTCCTTGATTTAACATCATTCCTAAGTCTTTAAAAGAAAAAAAAAAATTGCAAGTGATAAGGATGATGATATAACATTCACAACAAAAAAGGGATGTAAATGCCTTACCTAAAGTTTGATAATTGAGAGCAACTAATTGGCACCCAGCATTCCAGAAAACCTGTACAACACAATAAAAAATTGTTATAAAGCTTTCTTCCTCAAACTAACAAGTGCTATTTTATGTAGGATATCTATATGCACCGACTCTTATGCTACACAAATATTATTATTATTTAATAAAATTTTTTAGCAGATAAAATGCTGCTAGATTTTCTTTTCTAAAATCGTTCTTTGGGTTGCTGACTTTGCAAAACTGTACAATCTTAACACTGGGCTCACCTGTGGCATGTAGTTTTCAGATCCAACTCGTGTTCCCTTGGGGTAAATTCTACTCATCTGACGCTTGTTATAACTTTTCGTCATTAAGAAAATATAGTAAATTTTATTTTACATGAGTTAATTAAGTTACAGTACATAATTGGTAGAAAAGGTATCTCAACTAAACCAAAGATAGAATCAATGGAAATAAAGAGAGAGTGAAAAAAGGGGGGCAAAAATGGAGCTGTGAAATTAAAATAGCGGTTCAGAAATTGGCAAAGAATGGTAAGTACTCTCTACTCTGGAATTTGTATGTATCTTTCTCTTTTGACCTGTTTCTGTTCTGTTTCATGTTTGAAAGGAGAAAACAGAATGTGCAGTAAAGGATACTTGACAAATTCTACAGGTTCATCTTTTAGAACGGTTGTAGCCGCTGTTTCAACAAATGATGACATCTCAAAGCTTCTGTTAACAACTGTCAAGAAAAAGGAACTACAGTTGCTCACTTTGCTTGCAACAATTTAGAATGGCAGGTACAATCATAAGGAATGGAGGTAAGCCAACAGTCCAAACTTCACACTTCACTGTGTTTATTTCAGAACCGTACAAACCCCTGAATATAAATTATTGGCATAGCCCAAAATAAGGCATCTAATGAGTCTCTGTTAAAACAAATAATGTTTAAGCTATTTTAAGCATCAAATTGTAACTGAGTAAGATACTATCCATACGGCATCTACTCGCAGATATCAAGCAAGGATCTGTTCTCTTAGAAACCATGGAGAACCACCATTAGATAATTTATAAAATTGTCCATCTGCTTTATTATAAACATGGTACAATAATATCATTGATGGCCAACACTAGCCCATTGCTTTTGCATATTCACATGTTTCCACAGATACAGTGTTCTTGTTCCAAACAAATGACATGGCATTTAAACAACATAATATGTGTATACTGACCAGCAGCAACTTCAAAGTTTTTAAAATGAACAGGTTGGATGTAGTTTACAAGAGCAGAAAGTTCATTCTCTGGTGCTACCTCTTCTTCATCCTAAGTTTTGCAATAAAATCAAAAAAACAAACAGAATAAGATTTAAACATTAGTATAAAATGGTGAAAGGTCTGAACTCAGGAGTAAATTCATAAGTAGGTAGGATATGACTGCCCGGGTTGGTGTGGTCCTGTGACTGACATTTCAAAAACCTGTGCAGTAGTCATCTTCGTAGTCAAAGTGAAGTGTATCACACCATCAGTTGATGGTATGAAACTCTGGATATTGACCTGATTGGTCAATAAAGTCACAATGTTATAGGTCACCCATCAGTTAAGCCATGATCTTATTGGCTATGAATACTCTAATAATGTCATTGGTGCATTTTGATCCGTCTTTTGTCACTATTTTATGGTTGTTTAAACATCACTATTCTGCATGTTTCTCATTCAGGAGCCTACAAATCTACAAATCCAACTTCTGAGCATCACAATGGTTTAATAAAAATATGATATCATTGGTCATGAGTTAAACCATGATGACATTAAACACTTAAAGACTGGTCCCAGGAGAAACAGTTAATTTTGCTTCCCGAGAATCTGAAAGTGATTAATTTGTTGTCTAGCTTACCAGGAAAAGCTTTTTAGTGTACAAATTTATGAAAATAAATCTTGTGAGCAGTCAACATTTGCAGGTAACAGTGCACTGTTACTCTCTGACATCATAGATTTTGCAACGTTGCCTGCTCAGAGATTTTTTGGGCGAAAAGTTTCATTGTTAGATGTCATGTGACCTCAACGTAACCGATGAAAGCAAGCGCTGTTGGGAAAAAATTTCAAGCTATAAAACAATGGCTGTTATTTGACTTACAATTCACTTACCTTATCGTTATCAATAATTTGTTGTGGATTGTCAGTCGATACCTCTCCATTGAGTGTGTCCACTTTGCTGTCAGAACTTGTCACTGTGGTACTTGAGTCAGTTGTAGGTTTTTCTGAATCAACACCTAGAAAGTGCAAAATAACACACTTCAGCTTTGTAATGTATTCTCCACACTGTACTACAAACATTTCCTTACGTACTGATGTGGTAGCCTGTTCACAGAACTATTTCTTTTTTATTTGACAATTTGACAGCATGCAAGAGCAAGAACAAGAGCAAGAGTGCAAGAACGAGTGCCAAGCCCACAATCTTGTGCTTGCAGTCAATTCGAAGCAGTTTATAATTCCATACAATCATGCAAAGAGAAAGTAATGAGACTGTGAACTGGCTACTGATGAGGAGAATAAATATTGGTTTAATTAACCAATACCTTTTACAACTGGTGATAATTCCATTACGCTCATCTTTCACTTTTCGGCGGTGACATTATAAAGTGCAAAAAAAACTATATACTTTCCCAGAATGATTTAAAATAAAAACATTTAATATTCATGATGATCATGAACATCTTTCAAGTTAATTTAATAAACATGGTGCTTGGTACCTTCCTCGAGTTTTTTTGCTTTCTTCTTGTTCTTTATCACTATCCTTCTTAACAAGGCCTTTGGATGTGGAAGAGATGTTCCTTTTTCGAGCTTTCCAAAAAAAGCACAAATTCCATTTAACACCACGTGCCTCTGTATCACACAGGGCTGTCACTAAGATTTCAAGTTGCCAGGTAAATATAACAAGTAGGCAGGGAATCAAACAGCTAGGGATTTCTTTTGGTNTGTCAGAACTTGTCACTGTGGTACTTGAGTCAGTTGTAGGTTTTTCTGAATCAACACCTAGAAAGTGCAAAATAACACACTTCAGCTTTGTAATGTATTCTCCACACTGTACTACAAACATTTCCTTACGTGCTGATGTGGTAGCCTGTTCACAGAACTATTTCTTTTTTATTTGACAATTTGACAGCATGCAAGAGCAAGAACAAGAGCAAGAGTGCAAGAACGAGTGCCAAGCCCACAATCTTGTGCTGGCAGTCAATTCGAAGCAGTTTATAATTCATTATATATTACATGCAAAGAGAAAGTAATGAGACTGTGAACTGGCTACTGATGAGGAGAATAAATATTGTTTAATCAACCAATACCTTTTACAACTGGTAATAATTCCAATACACTCATCTTTCACTTTTTAGCGGTGACATTATAAAGTGCAAAAAAACTATATACTTCCCAGAATGATTTAAAATAAAGACATTTAATATTCATGATGATCATGAACATCTTCCAAGTTAATTTAATGAACATGGCATTCAGTACCTTCCTCAAGTTTTTTTGCTTTCTTCTTGTTCTTTATCACTATCCTTCTTAGCAAGGCCTTTGGATGTGGAAGAGATGTTCCTTTTTCGAGCTTTCAAAAAAAAAAGCACAAATTCCATTTAAAACCACGTGTCTCTGTATCACACAGGGCTGTCACTAAGATTTCAAGTTGCCAGGTAAATATAACAAGTAGGGGGGAATCAAACAGCTAGGGATTTATTTTGGTTCTATTTTTCTTCTATTTTCCTATGAAAGAAGCCGGGGCCATATTCATGGTAGCTGGGGGAAATCCCTGGTCCCTGGCTCTCAATGACAGGCCTGAGGCTAACTAGTTTTTATATCATTATAAGCATTATTGACCAAGATTGTTCAGTCAAGATGGATGAATATGGGTCAAGAACTTTTTTGTGTTTTCAAGTCAATAAAAATGCAAGAAAAAAAAAGCACCGAACAAGCTTGGTCAATAAAGGATTTATAATATGGCCAAAAAGAGAAAATGCCAGAAATCCCAAGCGGGCAAGATGGACCCATCTTTCTTGCTCGGGTAGCCAATCAGAATGCAGTACTTGTTTCATCTTGCCCACTCGTGACACAGCTATATATTAATAATAGTAATAATATATACTATGAATTAAGTAGCAATTAGGAAAAGTGTGCTTTTGCTTATGTTTTTTTTTAAGTATTTTAATAGGTAGCACTGATCAGTGGCCTCTGGTCCATTTTCACTTTACTGTTTTTTCAATGTAAAATTACTTTATTCTTAAGTTATGTTAATAGTATGTATATATCTATAATTTATATGTGAAAGGGTTTAGATTTACATCTACACTGTGATGGGGGAGACTGGTGTTTCCAGGCCTGCACTTGCAATGAATTTGACAGACAGCTATGCAATGATTTAAAATACTAAACAGCCCAAAGTAAATCATGGAAAGACAAAACATGGCTTACAGGGTAATCATCCAAAGGTTTATCAAGGAGCATGTCACCAAAAATGTTGACACAGTAAGCTGCCATCTTAGCCTGCTGCTTAGGACTGAAAAACAGAAGAAAATAAAAGGATTATAGAAGGGAAACAGTTGAAGCTAAATAAACAGGTCTCATAAGCCATCACTTACCCAATATACCACACTCAACTTCCAATTAAAAGCACTTAAAGAAACCTGTTACAGAAATGTACACTGTGGTAAATTTTATCCCTGGTTTAATTTTATTCTCCATTGCCTTTTGTTATGGGAAAGCATGATAATCTGATGACAAAATTGAACCAAAATATATACCTAATTCCATAAAGGTTGCATTCTTAATTGGTCATGGGCAATTGGGCATATGTAGGGCATACACGCATTGAACTTGCTGTAATGATGTGCTGGAGTGAACAACCCCATGGGAAAAACAAATACCCAAAGCAACCTTTATTGGATCACCTAATTATAGAGATTAGAACAAAACAAGACAGAAGGGGGTTGTTTACATTCACAAAAAGTTTATGGAAAACACAGTTGAAACTTTTAAGGTTATCCCTGTGGAAAATTTCAGCAAGAGATCAACAAATTTTAGTACTTTGGGAGGTTTTTTGCAAGTGTTATAAATTAAATCTGTTAACAATAGCAACGCGTCCCCTAAATTCCCTGAAGGGTACTTTTGCATTTGAGCGCGATGTTTAAAATTCAGTTTTGAGATAGCAGATGACATGAAGAGAAGAATTGAGATATAAAAACCAAAGACCCGCAGACAATTCGCGTTAGTGTCAGTAGTTTTTTTTAACATTTTTTTCATCCTTTAGTGAAAATCTCATCAGGATATTTGGCCTTTTTCCTTTTTCAACGAATCATGCTGTTAATGCTCGTAATGTAGAAGTGAAAAGAGGTGGGCCCGATTTTGATGCATGAATGGTGAACAAACTTGACTTGTCAGAAAATATTGAGAAACTGAGTATTAAATGAATCTTCAAGAACAGCGAAATGACGACAACAGCAACAGGTTATGTAGAAGTGAAAAGAGGCGAGCCCGATTTCAACACATGAATGGTGAATAAACTTTCAAATTGTTAGAAAATACTGAGACACTGAGTATCAAATGAATCTTCAAGAACAGCGAAACGACGACAACAGCAACAGCTTTGACTGTTATACTCAACTCTTTACAAACAGACCTTACCTGCAATGATTTTCAAAAGAAAGAACAACTGGATAATCAGATGTCTTGAATGCATACTCTGCAATAGCTTCAATAACATCCTGTACAACAAAACACAGCAAATTATCACTTATTAGCAATCAAAAAAGAAACCTTAGAGATTAACAAGGTAGTACTGGAAGGTAACTACCGGTAAGTGATACTGGTTCTAGCTTTTTCCAATCTAAAAACTAGATTCTAAAATCAAGAGCTGTAAGTCCTAGCAGAAAGTGGAAGGAGGAATAAGTACATTGTTGTGTATCCCTGTCAGGGTGCAAAGAAAGTCAGTTTTACAGCCTGCCATTCAGGCAAGCTGTAGCTAACATGTACTAGCCCACAAGTCATTTCAACTAGCCCCAAAACCCTTCTTCTTAAAGTTTGGGATTGATAGAGATTTACGCACATTAATGACACAATGATATGTAGAGATTCTACTTTGTAGGAAAGTAAGGGATAGGGTAGGGATATTTTATATGCTGCTGGTATTGTGCTACAAATTGCAACTGAACAGGGTCTTGTATGGGCCGAGTGTTTGTGGTTGGCACTAGCAGCCACCCACCTACCCACCCCCACCCACAATCTTAATTATTGCTTGAGGTACCACCCCCTGAGAATCAAGTCTGTTGTTATACTGCTCAGCCTTTTGAACCCAAATCTTACCTTGAATGAAATTTCGGTGCAAAATGTCTTTCCATGTGTAATAATTGGTTCCTGTTCTTCTGTTCTTCCATCCCAACAATCTAATTCTAAACAGCGGCAACCAGCCAATAATGCCTGCCTGTACATTTCTACTGATGATTTTCCCGTTAGCTGATGACCTAACAAAAATTTGAATACAGCAGTCAGAAAAAATAGTACTGTGTTACTCCAGAAAAGATATCTTTTTTTTGTGAGTGTATAAGTTGGTGTTCTACTTCCCTGAACAATAAACAGGGACGTTAAAGCAAGAATGTGTACACATTACCTGTTAGATATGTGTTGTGCGATGAATTGATAAAATAATGTGACAAAGGATGCGTCATATCTTGATGAAGAGAGAGGCGATCGTGGTTGATTATAAAGTTTTCATCACTCATAAGATATCTTGTAAGGCCTTGCACTGAAAAGTGACCTGAAAAATGTCAGAACTTGTCACTGTGGTACTTGAGTCAGTTGTAGGTTTTTCTGAATCAACACCTAGAAAGTGCAAAATAACACACTTCAGCTTTGTAATGTATTCTCCACACTGTACTACAAACATTTCCTTACGTACTGATGTGGTAGCCTGTTCACAGAACTATTTCTTTTTTATTTGACAATTTGACAGCATGCAAGAGCAAGAACAAGAGCAAGAGTGCAAGAACGAGTGCCAAGCCCACAATCTTGTGCTTGCAGTCAATTCGAAGCAGTTTATAATTCCATACAATCATGCAAAGAGAAAGTAATGAGACTGTGAACTGGCTACTGATGAGGAGAATAAATATTGGTTTAATTAACCAATACCTTTTACAACTGGTGATAATTCCATTACGCTCATCTTTCACTTTTCGGCGGTGACATTATAAAGTGCAAAAAAAACTATATACTTTCCCAGAATGATTTAAAATAAAAACATTTAATATTCATGATGATCATGAACATCTTTCAAGTTAATTTAATAAACATGGTGCTTGGTACCTTCCTCGAGTTTTTTTGCTTTCTTCTTGTTCTTTATCACTATCCTTCTTAACAAGGCCTTTGGATGTGGAAGAGATGTTCCTTTTTCGAGCTTTCCAAAAAAAGCACAAATTCCATTTAACACCACGTGCCTCTGTATCACACAGGGCTGTCACTAAGATTTCAAGTTGCCAGGTAAATATAACAAGTAGGCAGGGAATCAAACAGCTAGGGATTTCTTTTGGTTCTATTTTTCTCCTATTTTCCTATGAAAGTAGCAAGGGGCCACATTGATGGTAGCTGGGGGAAATCCCTGGTCCCTGGCTCTCAATGACAGGCCTGGGGCTAACTATTTTTTATATATATGCATTATTGACCAAGCTTGTTCAGTCAAGATGGATGAATATGGGTCAAGAACTTTTTTGTGTTTTCAAGTCAATAAAAATGCAAGAAAAAAAAACAAGGCCAACTTTCAGCCATCTTAACTGCACAAGCTTGGTCAATAAAGGATTTATTATATGGCTGAAAAGAGAACTTTTTCTTGTGGGACAAATGCCGGAAATCCACAGCGGGCAAGATGGACCCATCTTTCTTGCTTGGGTAGCCAATCAGAATGCAGTATTTGTTTCACCTTGCCTACTTGTGACACAGCTATATATTAATAATCATATATACTATGAATTAAGTAGCAGAGGAAAAGTGTGCTATTTTTTTATTTATGTATTTTAATAGGTAGCACTGATCATTGGCCTCTGGTCCACTTTCTCTTTACTGTTTTTTCAATGTAAAATTACTTTATTCTTAAGTTATGTTAATAGTATGTATATATATCATTTATACGTGAAGGCGTTTAGATTTACATCTACACTGTGATGGGGGAGACTGGTGTTTCCAGGCCTGCACTTGCAATGAATTTGAAAGACAGCTATGCAATGATTTAAAATACTAAACAGCCCAAAATAAATCATGGAAAGACAAAACACGGCTTACAGGATAATCATCCAAAGGTTTATCAAGGAGCATGTCACCAAAAATATTGACACAGTAAGCTGCCATCTTAGCCTGCTGCTTAGGACTGAAAAACAGAAGAAAATAGAAGGATGATAGAAGGAAACAGTCAAAGCTAAATAAACAGGTCTCATAAGCCATCACCTATCCAATATACTACACTCAACTTCCAATTAAAAGCACTTAATGAAACCTGTTATGTACACTATGATAAATTTTATCCCTGGTTTAATTTTATTTTCCATTGCCTTTTGTTATGGGAAAGCGTGATAATCTGAAATTGAATTGAATTGAACAAAATTGAACCAAATATATACCTAATTCCATAAAGGTTGCATTGGTAATTGGTCATGGGCAATTGGGCGTTGTGCATTTGGGCATACATAGGGCATATATGTATGGAACTTGCTGCAATGATGTGCTTGAGTGAGCCTCTCACTGGGCAATTCCAAATAGCCAAAGCAACCTTTATTGGATCACCTAATTATATAGATCAGAACAAAACCAGACAGAAAGGGGTTGTTTACATTCTCAAAACGTTTATGGAAAACACAGTTGAAACTTTATTCCAGGTTATTCCAGTGGAAAATTTCAGCAAGAGATCAACAAATTTTAGTACTTTGGGAGATTTTTTGCAACTGTTATAAATTAACTCTGTTGCCGATAGCAACACGTCCCCTAAATTCCCTGAAGGGTACTTTTGCATTCAAGTGCAATGTTTAAAATTCAGTTTTGAGCTAGCAGTTGACATGAAGAGAAGAATTGAGATATAGAAACCGAAGACCCGCAGACAATTCGTGCTAGTGTAAGTAGTTTTTTTAAACAGTTTTTTCATCCTTTAGTGAATTTCTCATCAGGATACTTGGCCTTTTTCCTTTTTCAACGAATCATGCTGTTAATGCTCGTAATGTAGAAGTGAAAAGATGTGAGCCCGATTTCAACACATGAATGGTGAATAAACTTGAATTGTTAGAAAATACTGAGACACTGAGTATCAAATGAATCTTCTAGAACAGCGAAGCGACGACAACAGCAACAGCTTTGACTGTTATACTCAACTCTTTAAAAACAGACACCTTGTTACTTTACCTGCAGTGATTTTCAAAAGAAAGAACAACTGGATAATCAGATGTCTTGAATGCATACTCTGCAATAGCTTCAATAACATCCTAAAACAAAACACAGCAAATTATCACTTATTAACAATTATCAAAAAAGAAACCTCAGAGATTCACAAGGTAGTACTGGAAGCTAACAAAGTGATATTTGTTCTGGCTTTTTCCAATCTAAAAACTAGATTCTACAATCAAGAGCTGTAAGTTCTGGCAGAAAGTGGGAGGAGGAATAAGTACATTGTTGTGTCCCTGTCAGGGTGCAAAAAAAGTCAGTTTTACAGCCTGCCATTCGGGCAAGCCGTAGCTAGCATGTACTAGCCCAAAAGTCATTTCAACTAGCCCCAAAACCCTTTTTGATTAGCAGGATTGATTACAATCTTTCTGTAATTTGAATTTCCCCAAAAAACAGTACTTGCCCATCGGGCAAGTTATTAAAACAAAAATCACTAGCCCGATAGCAAAATCTACTAGCCCCAGGCTATCGGACATGACTTTCTTTGCACGCTGGATACAGATTTACGTACATTAATGACACCATGATATGTACACTGTAGAGATTCTAGTTTGTAAGAAAATAAGGGACAGGGTAGGGATATTTTATGGTATTGTGCTACAAATTCGAACTGAACAGGGTCTTGTATGGTCCTACCCACCCACCCACAATATTGATTTCCTGAGGAACCCCCCTCTGAGAATCAAGTCTGTTGGTGTACTGTTCAGCCTTTTGAACCCAATTCTTACCTTGAATGAAATTTCAGTGCAAAATGTTTTTCCATGTGTAATAATTGGTTCTTGTTCTTCTGTTCTTCCATCCCAACAATCTAATTCTAAACAGCGGCAACCAGCCAATAAGGCCTGCCTGTACATTTCTACTGATGATTTTCCCGTTAGCTGATGACCTAACAAAAATTTGAATACAGCAGTCAGAAAAAATAGTAGTGTGTTACTCCAGAAAAGATATCTTTTTTTGTGAGTGTATAAGTTGGTGTTTTACTTCTCTGAACAATAAACAGGGACCTTAAAACAAGAATGTGTACACATTACCTGTTAGATATGTGTTGTGTGACGAATTGATAAAATAATGTGACAAAGGATGCGTCATATCTTGATGAAGAGAGAGGCGATCGTGGTTGATTATAAAGTTTTCATCACTCATAAGATATCTTGTAAGGCCTTGCACTGAAAAGTGACCTGAAAATGAAACACAATTTTACTCTTTCTACTAGTGGATGATCAATGTCCAACTAACATGTACATTATAACAGGACACTTTTATAGAACCATCAGGGCTTGAAAAAACTAAATTCCAGCTTATCCCTTAGGCAAGCAGCTCCTGTATTTTGCTAGCCCAGGGCCNGAATTGATAAAATAATGTGACAAAGGATGCGTCATATCTTGATGAAGAGAGAGGCGATCGTGGTTGATTATAAAGTTTTCATCACTCATAAGATATCTTGTAAGGCCTTGCACTGAAAAGTGACCTGAAAATGAAATACAATTTTACTCTTTCTATTAGTGGATGATCAATGTCCAACTACCATGTACATTATAACAGGACACTTTTATAGAAACATCAGGGCTTGAAAAAACTAAATTCCAGCTTATCCCTTAGGCAAGCAGCTCCTGTATTTTGCTGGCCCAGGGCCACTTCTTGTTCTTGCCTGCCTTAGTTAGTGATTTTGTTAGTGAATGATTTGCCTGTACCCTTGCCCATTGGGCTAAAGCTTACTTGCCCAGCAACAAAATCTACTAGTATAGACTAAGAAACAGGGCTTTCTTTGAGCCCTGATTCTGTTAAAACATGGTCAAGGTGAGGTTAGGTGAGTGTAGTCCTGAATAGGACTTTTGTCAATGGTCACTGATTGTAGGTCACTGTCAACAATAGTCTTATTCAGAATACTACACTCACCACGAAAATCATATTACACCTACTGGTGACATGCAATTCATTTTATGGAGCTGACAAAAGTTCTTACCTTTCTTTGCAAAGTCTTTGTTTGGCTCATATTTCTCAATAATGGCTTGAGCTTTTTCACTAGTGCAGTATGGAAAGAGGATTTCATTGAGGCGTGGATCTCGTTGTTCATTGTTTAGAAACTCCACAAGTTGATCCACTGTCAAGTACGGTTTTTTCTTTGCACCACTGAGAAAACAGTCAGTACAAAATTAGTACCAATACATGTCATGTTGCTCATACATTTGTACATTGTACTGGTAGTTCATTCCTGCAGGTTAATAATTGTTTTTCAGCTCATTCAAGTAGCAGTACTCCACAATCCCAAATTTAGATTCTAGCTGACATTGCAATTCATCAAACCAAGAGGGCACAGCTGTTGTGAGAAAAATCTATCATCACATTAAAACAGTGCTCAACCAAAAATCAGCAACAAAATTTCATGTACCTGAGACACCTTGCCCTAGAGGGCTTCAGATGTTTGCCAACATCAAAAAGGGAAAATGAAACTTTCACTCCCCACCCCCTCCATGCAATGTTGTGCCGCTATCACTCTTTTCCAAAGTGTGCTATGTTTTAGAGGGCTAAAAATTAATGCTCAGAAAGTTGCAAACAGTAAACCCTTTTCCCATTGATGATACTAAATACAACAAGAATAGGCTGGTAGTTTTAAATAATTAAAAGTTGTACTTGACTCCGAGGCTATGGGGAATAAAACAAAAGAAATTAATTATTCATTCCTGAATCTCGATGCAAATTTTGTTTTATACCCTTCACCCTTGGAGCCAAGTATGAATTTTAATAATTTGAAACTGGCCTATTTGAACTTACATTTCAGCAAATATTGTGTCTATATCCTTTCTGTCACATAGCCTGTTGTAAAAAGCCCAAAATTCTTCAAAACTAAATTTATCAGGGCTAATACTGTCGTTCTGAAAGTATAAAGTGAAATATTTGACGATAAGTACTGCTGTTATAGAAATTTATAGGAAAAAATATCTTTTTTTAAAAGTCCAGCCTCAGAAGTTTACTGAAGTGGAAAAAATAAAAAAGACATTTATGCTTCAATCTACCCACAAAATGGCAACCCTTAATCAGAATGAAATATGTGCTGTGCTCTGTTTGAAAAGGCAATACAAAATACATGATGGAGAAAAATGGCTAAGTGAAATTTTGCACATAGCAGGTTTATTAAACTCTGAAAATCCAGTCCAAATACAAACTCAAACTTTCATTAAACATGTATTGCCGGTGAAGGTGAGGGCAATCAACTGCCTGAAATATACAAACTATAGAACAAGGAAGAAGCAGGAATGGGGAGGAGGAGGGCTGAGGAAAAATTTTTTAGTGTCAAAGAGATCAAGAATGTGACATACATTGCACGACAATAAATAAATACAACATTACCTAAAGATGCCATCTTGAATTCAAAATTCAAATCAGTACCCTCGATTCCATGTTCCTAGCCTCTTTCCACATTACTGTACTCATAAACTACCGTAAAGGCTAAATTGTCACATAAAATTTTATTTGAAGACAAATAATGCACTAAGTAAATGCACTTCTCAGGAGAATTCATTTATTTCTTTCAATGTTTTAGCAAACTTCCAAGTAGTTTCAAAGCTCACATACAAGTATCAATTCAGAAAATCTACAAAGCCTTAAAGAAAGAACATAAAGAGAGTAACAATTCCTGAGGTAGAGTAGACTGTTATTAAACTCAACAAAATAATGATACTTTATGATTGCAAGAACTTACTTTTCCATGTGGAAGACCAACAGATTGCAGAGCATCTAGCACTCTCTTCTTGTCTTCTTTACTTGAACTTACATACTTCAGAATGCTGACAGTTTAGAAAGATAGTTAGGGACTTACTCAGTACACATGACAAGAGAGAAACACATGCAAACATTTTGGTGGCCTGGGCTTGACCTTCCAATAAACTGTTTAACACCATCATTTTGGATTAACATAATTATTTTTCAGCTTTAAGGGAGCAACTGTGGCGCAGTGATGAGAGCACTTGCCTCCCACTACTGTGGCCCAGGTTCGAATTCCAGTGTCAGTGCCATGTTGGTTAAGGGTTCTCTCCCTTGCTATGAGAGGTATTTCTCCTGCTACTACAGTTTCCCCCTCTCCTTAAAAGCCATCACTTCCAAATTCCAATTTGATCTGGCATGCACAAGCATGTTCGACAAGCTCTTAAGGTCTGTACACACTAGGCGACAAGTTGCTGCAACACGTCGCGGCGACAGATCACTCCGTGTGCACAGGTCGGGCGACTAGTTGCAGCAACAAGGTGAGGTAACACGTCGCAGCGCCAAATCGTTTCGTGTGCACTGGAGAATTTTTGTGAAAATCTTTGTCTCCACAACAGAATTTTGTCGCTGCAACAAGTTGCAAAAAATCAAATCAGACTGAATCTATGCGACTTGTTGGGGTGACAAATTCTGTTGCAGCGACAAAGATTTTCACAAAAATTCTCCTGTACACACAAAGCGATTTGTCGCTGCAATGTGTTGCCGCGACATGTTGCTGCAACTTGTCGCCTAGTGTGTACCGACCTTTAAGAACTCCTAAATGTAAGTGCTCTGTGCATGGTCGCACCAGTACAATAATTACAATTTACGAGGCTCCATGACGTTCAATCAGCTTAATTAACATAATAATAAGACACAACAATTTTGCTTAAAATCTGCCTAAATCCTGGGTTAGGGTTAACCATCTTTCAAGGGTCATAAAAATGTAGTCTTAAAAAATTTAAGACATTTTTAAATCAGACTATTAAATTTTCCTGATTGAAGATCTGAAAATGAACAGTTTGATTCAATTTTGAAAACTCTGAAGTGTTGGTGCCTCCAGGTGGTTAGTGGAGGTTACAATCTATGTGTGTGTCAGACTGTTCTTCCGCAGACATAACGACAAAGCCTGTATTAATTTTTGTGATTAAAAGTCACTTACCTCTTCACAGGAACTTTTCCTTCTGCATTTGTTTGCACACACAACTTTGTAAAACTAAACAACAAATCAACATTAATAAGGATACAACATTTATTCACAGATTACTAGCATCATCTTCCATCTGATACCAGCCAAAGAGAATCATATTTCTTACAAGAAAATCGTAAGAAATAATTTAAACTAGTAATATCAGGATGCAAAGAAAGTCAGTTTTACAGCTTGCCATTTGGGCAAGCTGTAGCTAGCATGTACTTGCCTAATAGTCATTTCAACTAGCCCAAAAATAAATTCGATGAGCAGGATTGATTAAGGTTCTACTGTTATTTGAATTCCCCGAAACACTTCACTTGCCCATGAGCAAATTAAGAACAGAATTTACTAGCCCGACAGCAATATCCACTAGCCATGGGGTATTGGACATTACTTTCTTTGCACCCTGAATATGAAAAAATTATTCTGAAGACATTTCATTTGGATGGTAATTATAAAGGATTTTGTAGACTCAAAGAAGAGTGACAAGTATTCCCACCACAAACTGCTCTAGAAGTTAACTGGTGAAATTTTAATCAATTTCTACTTACTGTTTTTCAAGGAAGCTCATAGGAGATGCATTCACAGCCAAGAGATTGTTCGTTAACTTCATAAGAGCATCTGTCCAATCACGTGTGACATTAACTGAACCAGAAACAAAGTTAACATAAACAAGGTCCACCATGTTCGGTCCATGTACAATTGTTATTGTTTTGTCTTGCAACAACTCTTCCTCTGACACTCCAAATTTCAGTGAATCCCGCAGTCTTTGTTCCTATTCAAATAAACAAGAATTAAATAAAAGGTAAACTCTGAGCACAAAGCAGCATATCAGAGCTTGGATGTGAGCTTCTATGTGTTAGTCTTTCACAAATTTGGAACTACTGACATTAGGAACTTAAAACTAGAAACAACATTAACTTTATAAAGAATTCCTTTTTGTCATAACCCTTACTGCTTTTGTGTTTGGAACGATCAGAGCGATGTTGTTGGCTCAAAAATTTCTGCTCAATGCCTAAAGTACTCATTTGCATGTTGTAAAATGATGCACATAAATTCCCCTCAAAAATGACCATGGAAAAATGAAATCGCTAGCGCTAATTGTTTTTAGAAACCATAAAAGAGAAACAAAGTCAGCTGCCTGTTACTAAGACACTTCATTTTTAAAATCCTATTTTCAACCAGTTTGTAAACAGGAGTTTTATGCCAAATGTAGAGATTTGGAAAAAAATAATATTAAACATCTGCTTCTGATAAGAACTGTCCACAAATACAAAAATATACTCACGCTAAGAATTTCAATTTAAGCTGCAGTGTTGGTAACTGATGGGTGAAGTGTTCATTACTGGAATAATTTATTTTTCACATCTTGATGCATGCGAAACTGAAATTTTGCACCCATTTTGTACGTTAAAAAATAAAACTTGATAAAGAAAAAACACTACTTTCTGTGGGGAAAAGTTAAACAACTACTTTTATCTACCACCAGGTTGTCCAACACCATGAAAAAAATGATCAGTAATTACCTGAGGTCATTAACAACTAAATGTTCCACTGAAACTTACAAAAATTACACAAATCAAAACTCAAACTTATCAAGAGTAAATGGGAGATGCACCACCAGTCTTTTTCAGCGATGAATGTTTGGCTTTGTATATTACAATCTAATGTCCTGAGATACCTTTTATTTCAAAGCAAAAAATCATTTGTGGTATAGTTTGGGACTCACATAATTAATATGATTCTAAGAGCCAGTAACATTTTTTAATGTCTGGAAATCATGATGAATATGTTATTTATATTCTCTTCTTTGTAGAAAGGAGCTAAATTTGCATATTTATTGAACAAACATGATTTAAATTTATTATTTTAATTCTTTTCTAAAACAACAAATGTCAGACACAGAACAAGAGCCATGTATCATAAAGAACCCAGCAAAGGGAGATCAAAGTTAAATTGTTAGAAAAAAACATCAAAGGGAAAGCTCAAGAAAAATTATAAAACCTTCCTTCATCCACCATCAAAACGTATTTTTCCAATTAACAAAGTAGTGAGTATTTTAAATCAATCAAAGTTCTTAAATATGGTTCCATATGCATGAATTTTTTGCAAAATTAATTGACATGATGTGATGGGAAAATAAGCCTAAACTGCAATTTTATTAGCTAAGGTGAGGGCAAAAAACATTTCGTTTGGTGCTTTTAATTTGGGAATTTGAGTTATGAAAAATTGCAATATTTAATTTTGCCAAACTAGGGTGACACAAAATTGCTAGGTGATATTATTCACAAAAGAGAACAATAAATAATTAAAAGAAAAGCCTACATGCATTTTGTTTAAGCCAAAACCTCATTCCAAAAACGAACCACTTTCATGTCAAAACAAAAACTATTTCTTGCCATAACAACAAGTGGAACAACACACTTTCAGCTGGAAAATGCCTTAAATATTCTACCCGGGCGCAATAAGGCATTCTATCACAGGATTAAAGGCATTGTTAATGCCACAAAAAGGAATAAAAAAAGAATTATAACGAACAGAAACCTTTCACAGAGAACAAATTTATGTACTAGCTGCGAGGGCTAAATTTGAAAGTCTAATAAATCTTCAAAGAAGTTGAAATGTATTAGCATTTACAGAAATATTTTTTTGAGTGGCACTTATAAGCATATAGGCGGAAAAGGTAAATTATTGTTTATTTACAAAAGAGCTCGAAGCAAAGTACCAAATATCAACAAAAAGACTCGCGTTTTTTCGGTGTTTTATATCGAAAATCGTGCACATGGTCACTAGCTGACTGATATCATCGAGAACACTTATCAGCGAAAAGCAAATGACTTTCGGACATGTTGGATTATTTTTTGATACTTTAACTAAGCTTAAATTTAACAGTTCAGATCACAAACCTTCGGAATTCTGGCCGATTTTCCCGTCCTCACGTCTCGAACAAACGTCAACTCCAGTAAGTCCGTTTCCTGTGTGTGAATGCAGAGATATTAAAAGTTTTAATTTAAAAATAAAGGGCTATGTAAACTGACACTCTCTCTAAACTGAAAAATAAAAGATATGGTTACGATGATAGAAAGTTACACTTGTCAGGAGCCTAACAGTCTAGAAAACGGCGACTTTGGATGATCGTGAAGAAACCTGGAAAGTGCAAAGAACTTGCACTGACTGCATGAGTGACAAAAACAAAAAGAAACCTGCACTGTCAACCTTCGGATACCATTACACATGGTTTATTTAAATCTTACCTTATCTTCAGCTCGCCAATAAATTAAATGACCAGCCGAATCTACTTTTACAGTACATGGCTGGCCTAATTGAGAGTCCTGCAAAGAAAGAGCAAAAATTTAAAATATATTTTAATACCTTCGCGAAAGGAAGTGAAGCCCTGTCATGTACACAAGGCCGGGATCTCGCAATGGGCTTCACAATTAATAACACAGAAATACTTCCTGTAGACAAATACGGGAATATTCTGAGCGGCGAACTCGACTTGCGGAAAAATGGCCGGTAGAGATTTGTACAGAAGATGCCTTAAAGTTAGGTTACCAAGGTAAAGAACCTCACTGCTAGTAAGCTTAATAAAAAATGGAGATCGAAGCGAAACGACACGGAGGTTTAGCTTTATAGCGTGACTTGAGCATAAAACCAAAACGAGTGAAAAGCGGTTCGACCTACATCGTCCCATTTTATGAATCTGGCTCCTCGAATTAAAAAATCTGCGACCTCGGGATGTGTCAGCCTTTCAAGCACTGCCTCCCCGCCCGCCATGTTTTTAGTTCGATTCAAAACAGAGCTGGGATCTTAGCATTCAGAGCCGCATTACTGCGGGCCGAAGGTGAACGATGATTGGTCGACAAATCAACAGGGAACAATTTGCCGCGCCATGCAGTCAAGAAAGTTGTTCAAGTGCGCTAATTTTATTACACATCCGACCATCCTTTCACTTTCTTAAATCATTTATTTTTCCACGCTGATATAAAATTATCGATCATCGATCATCGATGCGAAAAAGCGAGATTAGTTCTAAAATATACATGCATCAATTTACGATGTCGGTCTAGGTCACCCATATTATACTTCTTTAATTGTGACTAAACAAAGATTTGAACCAATATCTTAGAGGATTTGTTTACATGGCAAAAAAAAATATTGTAAGGCGATCAATAAAAAAGTTTTCAGATAAACTTCAAATTTCTCACCGTTACAAAAACTGAACTTCGCACGTTTTTCAGGTTTTTTCAGAAGCAACCAGACAATTTTAATTTTCCTAAATTGTTAAATACAATAACAATCTTGGAATATAAATAGCAGCACCCCTTTAGCAAATAAGCCGACTTAAGCAAATTAGTCTTGTCTGTCTAACAAAGGAAGCTTAAAAAGAACATGTTAAGTTTCTTTGTTTTTAGTTTTTAGTTTCAAATTTGACTTTCAGTCTTCCATTCCAAGACAGTTTCCGTATTTGTAAAAAAGTAAAAAGTAGTTAAAATTTTTCTGTTAGAAAAAAAAAACAATGTCCTTTTTACAATCAAGAATAACAGTCTGCTATGAACTACAATAATGCCTTTTTTTCCTTTTAAAATTGAATACAATTTTTTAATATCAAACAATATAAATAACAATAATATTTTTAATACTTTACATTATATTACTCTCAACTTACCCTTAAAGAAATATTACAGTAAAATGTTAGTTTCTGGCAAAGAGTTCTTTTATTCAATAAAACGGCTGAACAAAAATTTTTGGTTTCCTGTTGATCTTACTATCTTAAAGTACCAAGTGAAAATGCTGATAAATCAAGATTTGCAATTTGATGGTTAGAGGAAATAGGAGGCAAAAAGGTTGTAAATCAATAACAATTTCTTATATTTATCATACTGATAAGCATTCTGACGACAGATGCTAATAAGTTAATTTCACTTTAGTAAGATTAATTCCAAGCAGCAGGAAAGAATGATAAGAAAATACTATTCTATGAAACAAAACAACAGTGAGAAGGTAGAACTCTTGCCTTTTCGTGAACCACTGAAAATTTTAGATTTGAAAAGGCACTTTCTGAAATCAATTTTTTGCAAGGCAACAAAGAGACATACTCTCTGTTGCTTATTCTCTGCAGTCACGATTACTAGCGGGCCATAAAACAGATGCCTCGAGATGCCTCTTATTACACAAAAATGAATCCACCATTCATAAAATAATATTAATGTGATGGGAAATGATGAATTTATTCAGGATTTCCTTTTCCACATTAACCTCAAGGAAAGAAAAACTGAATTATTTATGTAGGATTTTAAAATATTGTCTCCCAGTAAAATTTTTCAATATCACATGATTAATTAACAGCAATTCATTCAAGTATTACAGTATATTTATTATAATAATAAAATATAATTTTATAATTTTATATGATGAAAACAGTTACATGTACAAATGACTAAACTGTAACATAAGAGCTCAGTTCAAATTGAATATTCAAATATATTGGTTTACAGACTGACCTCATTGAATTTGATTAGTAATAAAGTATAGCTGTATTAATGCATAGTCAAACACAATGACACAGCGTTTAATGTAATTTTGGTGTTTTATGACAACATCACCAATAATTCAAATTTATTTTGCGATAATATTTTATTACATGATATCAGGACAAAATATACTCAAATAAGTCAATTCTTCAGTATATATTTTCCCCAAATCACAGCCAGGCAATAATTTTTTTCACCCCAAAATAACTTATTTAAAAGAAAAGTAATGTTATTAATATACATGTATACCTTTCCATAAAAGCTCACTAATTGAAGTTGACTTAGTGACATCAGACAATTTACTTTATTTTCAAGTGATTATCAATCTACCCCAAATCAGAGACAAGAGAAAAATTTTTGTATTAAGTATTCAAGGAAACATTTTATCAGGGCATGGCAGTTTAAATAAAATACATGGATTGAGGTTGAACCAGTAAGATGTTTTTAAAATTCTTAAATAATCTCGAGAGAATTTATTTTTAAAATAAAGTTAAATAGTCTAATTGATCTTAAGTAAAGATTTGCGAGTGGAAATATGTCATGAAATGGGGTACAAATTTAAAATATCATTATTTACATAACAATCTTGGCTGGATACAAAAAATCAATAACACAGAACAAACCGAAATGCTTAACTATTTACAACCCCCCAACTTATTTCAAGGTTTCTCACATTTGTCATCTCGACCAAACTATTCAAACCTGAATCTTGCTCCCATTTTGCTTTCAACTACCAAATACCAGCCTTCATATAACGCAAATTACTGATCAAGAAAAGCCTATATGGTACCCTCAAGCAAAATTAAAAGTAATGTTGCAATCATATGTGAAGACTTTTTCCTTAAAAGGATAGGTCAAATGTAACCCATTAGATTTTTGTGGAATATCTTCAAAATAATATCTGTTTGTTTTAATTGTGCTCAAACTCATCAAAAGCTAAAAAATGCTTTTACTCTGATAGTTTCACAAAAGAAGGGATAATTTCAAACAATAATCATTGGCAGAACAAAGAAAGTAAAACAAAGTAATTTTTTCCCAAACCAACCATTCTTGCCAACAGAAAGTTATGGTCAGCTAAAATCTACAATCACCACAAAATAACTCCAGACAGAATGTACAGTATTACTAACAAGAATCCTGACTGACCCCCAAGGTGTTGATGTGTAAGAAACATGACAATAAATGTCACTGGAACTTAAATAATCTATAAGCCATATCAAAGATACAAGTCCATGTACAATGTAGTAAGCAGATGTGTATATAAGTATATGTATAAACTATACACAGTATATGTGTATAATTGTAAGGTACGCAAGGAATTGGATGATACAAACTTTTAGAAGATGGTACATGTAGAAAACTACACAAAAAGAGTTTTACACAATTTGCATTTATATTCCAAAGAAAACAAGGCAAGGGAAAAGAGGAGAAGAAAAGAAAGAAGAGTGCAGAGAAAACTACTCCTAAAACCCGCCCCATCATACATGTAAATTAAGGCAAAAAGATCCTCTATGCACCAGAGGCTCTCCTTTCATAATGAACACAACATATGGAAAAATCTCTCATAAGGTCAAATTTAAAACTTCCCTGGAATTGAAACAGGACAAACCTTGACCAACTAGCTGTTTTATTAACAGAACAAATAAGTTATAAACTACTTGAAGACGGAATTGATTATCAGCACATTAAGTAACAGTGGTTTTAACCAATGTTAAATTCTTCAGATGACTCATACATTTACATGTAACTGCATCAGCCAGGACTAAACACTCATGCTGAGGACAATATTTAATCTTCTTTTATTAATGACATGACTTTGATTCAATTTTTTTTAATATCATGTTTACTTTGTTTGTCATCAGCTGTGCTGTAATATCTCTTAAAGGTACTTACAGGGGTAGCTACACACCACTGATGAAGAACACACAGAGTGTTGCAGCACTGATGATGGTTATAAATTTTAAAAATTTATAAGGGCAAACAGATAACACATAATGATCCAAACAAAAGTAAATATCTCAGGAATTGTATTGTTTTTTACAAGGATGAAGCCAATCATGTACTGAGAATTATTTACAGTAATTTATGTCAAGAAACAACAGTAATAAGCTGGGGGTTTGTGGCCTGCTTGTGTGTACTACATGCAAAAAAGAAAAGGTAAACTTACCATGAGATGCATTTCATCTTCACCACAGAATGTACAACAAAATGATTCAGTCAACATTATTTAATCACTTAAAAATAAAATCATGACATTTAACAATAACTTGAATGATAACTCCCTGCAGTTAGATTTAAATTGTGTGAAGTGATTATCAATGAGCTTGTCACGGTAAGGCTTTTTCTTGCCAAAGTCCCTGACTGACTGTAGTCACAACGTACACATCAATATGACAGCATAATCCAAATATTAACTACAACCCACGCTGTATCAAACCTTGTTTAATGTCTCTCATCTGTGTTCATGGCACACATCCTTAGCATCAGTAAGTATTTTACTTTTTTACAGCATGATCTTAGACAATAGCAGTGTACAGAATATGATGCACACACAAAGTTGGTTGTCAGTTACCAGCATAAGTATTCTCAAACATATTTCAATGTTATGTTTTCAGCAACTCACTGTCCTTTTCTTCTTCAAGTTGTGCAGCAAGTAAGGCTTCCCTTTCTAATCTGCGTTTGTCAAGCCAGGGTTTACATAAGTGAAAGATTCCTGCACTGCCCAGGATGAGGCTAGCCCTGCAGAAATTAATGGTCAGTGGTAAATAGACATTAGCAAACTAAAAGCTACAACTACACAAGATGAGATTTTTCCAGATTCATAAACGTTTCCAGATTTTTTACTTTTAGGGTATTTGGATTCGCTGTCGTAGCTTATACTAAAAACCTATTTGGATTCCCATTACTGTTTACAAACATTAATAAATCTGGGGAGCTTTAGCAACCACCAGTCTGACACACTCAGTTTCAAAGCTTTTGTTTTAAATCTGGTAATATGACGATATTAAGTCAGAACACTGATTAAGTATGTAATGTTCCCATTGCTTAAGGTCGCTATTACAAAAAACTATCCAAAGACCATCTGATCATTCCAAGAGACAGACTCTTTTCCCGTTAAGACCTTTTTCTTAGGAGAAGAATCTTGCAGAAATTTTGCCATAAATCTTTGTCAGTCTTAGACAGTCTTACAAACACACCCTCAGAGATTTTGAAGCTGTCATAAGATACCGTGGTCACCCAGGAATGCTCCCTCACTTAATGACAGCAAAACCAGCCACTATAAAATGCAATAGGGACGAGGGTAAAAGAGAGACTCAGTGTTGGAGGGTGAATAAAGGAAAGCTGACCTATCAGTAGCAGATTAACAATAGCTGCTACAACTTTCACCGTTCTCTCCACTGCTCCGCAAAACCAACATGTTATTTCAATGTTCCTCTGTAAAGCCTTAACCTAAATAATATTCAACCTTTTTTGCCATAAGATTGAGTCGCTAACTACAGAAATACCCAAAATATCCTAGTTCCTTTATATGTGGGGATTGATGTTAACCTACAGCTGTACAGTCCATGCAGCGTGTAAGCTCATTAGTGGAGCGAACGAGCTAAAGATAATATTGCCCACCTCCCAACCCTTATCAACATCTGCCATCTGTTGCGCACACAAGTGAATCAAAGAGTGCCTTCCGTCTGAAAAACCTCAAAGTAGTACTTACCAAACAACACTTATAACAGTCACCCGTCGAATTCGACGACGTAAAGAGGGTTCTAGACTTTTATATTCATCTTTCAGGTCCATTTTCTCTTCGCTTCCACTTCACGATTCGCCAGGCGCTCCCAGTACGTTGGTCACGTGGTCAAAGCGACAAAAACATACATCAACTTCTACATATCATTTCCCGGTTTGTAAAATGGCTGCAGCGACACCTGAACGGGCGACCAAAGAGGTCTTTGATTTGTTCAAAAAATATGGAGATAGAGACTATATAGGCGAGCCAGTATCTCAAGAAGAACACATGATTCAATGCGCCATGTTAGCCGAGAAGGACGGATACTCCGACGAGGTCATCTTGGGGGTGTTCTTGCACGACATTGGACACCTGGTTGGGTTCGATAGAGATCTTCCTCCAATGGCAGATGTGGGTACAAATGCACATGAGATTGTAGGTGAACAGTTCCTCAAAGATCTTGGATTTCCGGAATGTGTGACAAGTTTTGTTCGTGGCCATGTGGACGCCAAACGTTATCTTGTCTTTAAATACCCGGACTATCACGCCAAGGTATATTTTTCTAGCTCAAAAGTCACGAGATCAAGAGGTGGAGTTTTCACCTTTTTATGCCCCCTTAGTTCTGCCCTCCAGATTCATGAGTATTAAATACAGTGTTAAATACAATGTAGCAACGCTAAAAAGAAAACTAAATAGTTTTTTTAAAATGATTAATCGCAGTTTTTTTTAATAGATATTTTTTGCCTGCCGATGAAAATAGAAATTGACTCCTTGCATGTTCCCACCTCCTCACGCCACAAATATCGAAAAGCGGTATTCCCCCCGTCCCAAAAAGGAAGATAGAAAGAAAATAAAATGAAATAACTAAAGAATTTAATCTTAGTATCGTTTAGCCTGCGTAGCAAGCGTTTCCAATCGAGTTATTGCGCGAAAGTAAGAGCGGAAGCGAAAAAAAAAAGGTGGAAGAGGGAGGGGGTTCCTTCTTTCCCCTCCCCCTCCCCCGTCAATCTTTTTTTTTTTGCTCTCGTCCCGACGTTCTCGACGAACTCGCGCGGAAGCGCTTGCTACGCAGGCTAAGTATCGTTTCTATAATAGCTGCGAAAGTATTGTTAGCATTCTCTCAATCGACTAAAAGGAAATTTCGCAATGTATTCTTTGACGACATTAGTGCGATCCAATAACTTTCTTTTTTCTTAACTCTCTTTCTTAGCTGACTCCAGCGAGTCAAAAGACGTTGATTTTTCAGGGAGGCCCGATGACAACAGAAGAGGCCAAAAAGTTTGAGACGTTGAAGCACTTTGAGGCTCTAGTAAAGATGAGAGATTGGGATGACAGAGGCAAAATAAAAAATGCTCCAGTTGATCCGTTGGAGAAATATGAAAATATGTGTAAAAATTATCTAGAAAAGGTCCACAGTAAATTTTGAACTGCAAATAAATTGACAGCTTACAAATGTAATAGGTCATGTTTATTAAAAAAAGACTGAGTCATTGTGCAGTGAGTGTTGCGTAATGGGTTTCAAATTTGGTGTGAAGGTTGTGCCGCATTGATGAGTGAACGTAAAAAACTCACCGATTTGCGTGATTTCGGGTGATTTCTAAACACTATTTGCATGAGGATCCTGGGAACGAGCTAGGAATCATCCAAGATGGCCGCGGCCTGCACGCGATGGGGTATTTTCGGTGCGGGAAAAATCGCCCATGATTTTGTGGTCGCTTTAAAAACTTTACCAGAAAACGAACACAAGGTTGTTGCAGTAGCGGCGCGTTCTCTGGAGAGATCTGCCGAGTTTGCAGACAGACACAACGTCGAGAAAGCTTACGGCTCTTACGAGGAACTCGCCCGAGACTCGAATGTAGAAGTGGTGTATGTTAGTACAATCCACCCCCAACACAAACCGCTTTGTATACTAGCCCTTAATAATGGGAAACATGTGCTTTGTGAAAAACCTATGACAATGAACCTTAAAGACACAAAGGAACTGTTCGATCTTGCAAAGACCAAAGGATTATTCATCATGGAGGTGAGTGACCGCTGCCGAGTGTGGATGATGAAATCCTAGCCTGGACCAGGCTCCTAGGTGTGGAAAAAGGGAAAAAGGCTAGATTCACCTTCTTCCATCTCCTGGCGATATTTAGGCCCCTTTCCCCAAACGGAGAGCCTGTTAATAGGCTAAGGAAATCCTGTTTTTACGGTCGCAAGCCGTATTAAACGATTTGCCTTCAGGTGTGGGTGGGGCAGGGGGCGTGAAACATTCACGCCTTAAATGGACTCTCTGTTTCGAATAAGGCGCATAACTTTACGCCCACTTGTGCTGCACAGGATCCTATTTCATCACAAGGAATCAGTAGTCTGTGCTAGGCTCTCAGATATAAGGAACGTCGCAAAAATATAACAAACAAAGCGAAAATAAGCCCAATCTGGGATCTGCGTGCATTTGTATTTTTTCCTTCACTTTTTCTGAACGACTGCTGTACTATCTTGGAGCCTGGAACATCTTGTTCAGCTGAATATATTTGGCTACCCTCCCTTTCTAGTAAGATGTCTTCCTGCAGGTTGAAATCCAGTTTAGACTGAGAGAGAACTCAACTGTATCTAAAACAACTGTGTTTTGGATTCCAAACATTATTCACAATGGCTTGTATTTTTTTGCAGGCTTTATGGACAAGATTTTTTCCTCTGTATGCAGATGTCAAGAACCTCATAGATTCCAATGCTCTTGGGGAGCTCCATTTGGCACTTGTCTCCTTTGGCTCAAATGTAACTCACATTGAGCGATTGTGTGACCGAGACCAGGGGGGTGGGGTCCTTCTAGACATTGGACTCTACTGTTTGCATGTTGTAGATATGATCTTCAATGAGGAACCCCTAACCATCACCGCTGTGGGACAGAAAATGGCCACCGGAGTAGACTCAACAGTTGTAGTGACAATGTTGTATGAAGGCGAGAAAACAGCTTCTATAACTATGAGTATTGGTGAGTACAAATTCTCTGACATGGCTGATGTTGGCCTCCTTGAAGAAACTAACTTCTGTAAGATCATGACTGGTTTTAAAATATGTTTTGTGTCACTTCAGCTGCAGATCTTCCCGGGGAAGCTACATTTTCAGGATCACATGGCTCTGTCACTATTCACAAACCTTTTCACTGCCCCACAAGTTTTACTTCTCCTGCTGACAGAAAGGAATACCCTCTTCCAGAGCCTTCCATGTCAATGAACTTTGTCAATTCTACTGGATTAAGGTGAGATGCATTTTTCATGGATAATTTNCTTCTAGACATTGGACTCTACTGTTTGCATGTTGTAGATATGATCTTCAATGAGGAACCCCTAACCATCACCGCTGTGGGACAGAAAATGGCCACCGGAGTAGACTCAACAGTTGTAGTGACAATGTTGTATGAAGGCGAGAAAACAGCTTCTATAACTATGAGTATTGGTGAGTACAAATTCTCTGACATGACTGATGTTGGCCTCCTTGAAGAAACTAACTTCTGTAAGATCATGACTGGTTTTAAAATATGTTTTGTGTCACTTCAGCTGCAGATCTTCCCGGGGAAGCTACATTTTCAGGATCACATGGCTCTGTCACTATTCACAAACCTTTTCACTGCCCCACAAGTTTTACTTCTCCTGCTGACAGAAAGGAATACCCTCTTCCAGAGCCTTCCATGTCAATGAACTTTGTCAATTCTACTGGATTAAGGTGAGATGCATTTTTCATGGATAATTTGTTCACAAGCTACAGTTGACCTGCCTGTCTTAAAGAGAGTTCAGTTAGGGAAAAATGACTAAAATTCTGGCTTAAGGAGTTGTCCCTCTTTGGTGTCAGTTAAAAGACAGAGTAGACTGTAACCTTTTCAGGTGATTATGTGTAAAACAGTCAGCAAAGTAGTGATGCTTTCAGGCAGTTGATAGAGGTGTTTCTTTAGCTTGGCAATTACTTACCGGTAATGAAGATTTTTAAGGGCATTCTAAACAAAGGCAGATTTATGGGTGGTCCAAGGGGGCTTTGGTGTCCCCCCCCCCTTTTGTTTATAAAAAGATTTCTCAGTAAACTATCTAGTATTTAGCTTACAAGTGTCCTAGCCCCACCCCCTTCCTGAAGTTTCTAGATCTGCCACTGCTGAAGATTTCCAAGTTACACAAAGAAGCCAAAGTGACTTTCAAAAGTGATCTCTCTTTTCTTGCATTTGCTCTGGTTTATTTTACTTTCAGTTTATATTTTTCTCAAAAATGTGTCTGCTAAGGATGTGCCAGACATGAGAAATTGGACCAAGGGTTGAGCTGACACGAGATCAAAGTTTTTGATTTGCTGGCAGGAGATGCCACACATAAGGCTTGATAGTTAGCAGCTATAGTGTACAATAACCACATATTCAAACCTTTTTTCCTTCAACTTGTGTTTTAGGTATGAAATCCAAGCAGTTAGAAAAAGCTTATTGGCAGGTGAAATAGAGAATTCAACTATGCCTCGAAAGGTAACAGAAAAAGTATTTTCCTGGATGGACAAGATTCGTCAGCAGTTAGGAGTTGTTTACAAAGAGGACTTGTAGAAATATTATCTCATTTGTTACAATTTTGCGAAGGGCATGAAAGAGTGTTCAATGTCAATTCTTACTGTGTTAATTCAAGAACATTAATTATGACCAGCAGTTTCCACCCAACAGTACTAACAAGACAACTAAGATGGAACCAACCTGAAAAGCAGTAATGAAGTTGTGAGACACCTATGAAATTCTTGACATGACCTTGTAACCCAGATGAAATTTGTTGTTCCAAGAGATACAGTTAAAACACATAGTTAGAACCAGTAATTTTCAAGAACAAGCTCAAATGGATTTACAGTCAACTCTCGCTAAGTCGGACACCTCTGGGGCCGGTACTAAGTGTCCGTCTTAGAGAGATGTCCCTCTTATAGAGAGTCAAATAAAGGGAATAAAGAAAGGCAGGGACCAACTCTAGGTGTCCGTTATACAGAGGTGTCCGTTAAGAGAGAGTCAACTGTAAAAGTCATTCCTCATATAAAAGAACCTCTATTGCATTTTGATTGCAATATATTTAATGAGTGCTTATTTGGCCCGCAAATTTCATCCTGGAGCCAGTTCTTAATAATATTGGCAGTTGCTAAATGTGTGGCTTTTCAGCGCTGTATGAAGCATAAAGTCACTGATCGCTGCAAGTGAATTTCTCCGCCATATAGTTTCCAGGTCCCCTTTAACCAGAGGATAAATATAAATGTGTTGAAGTAACCTTAATTGATGCCAATTCTTGAAACACTGTTGATCAATATGTTCTCTTTAATAAACAACTTTGTACATCTACTTTGGTATCATATTTTGGCACCAAAGACATATTATTTACAAACTCTTTAATACTAACTAGACAACTTTAAATTAATGATACCCTTCTCTTCGTTAATAATTTCTAAATCAGAATGGGTTCTTTGGAAGGGCAGAGATAAATGTCTAAAATATAGGGCTAGTTTGGTCCATCTCAATGAAACATGTCAGACTACTCAGTAGAACAGGAAATCATGCACCTAGCTTAGTACAGCTGGATTGTATGATAAGCCTGAATCATCATTATTATTGTGAACTGTTGAAAGAGTTGGGTATGGTTAACTGCTTTCTTTCATGTTTTATGTCACCAGTATGGTGGCCTGCATTGCTGGTGTTTGAAAGGGAGGGGGGAGGGGATTTCTCACGCATAGTCTCATGCCTAAGTTCCCTTCATCTTCCCTTTCAAATGCAGGTGGCTAGTATGTAACAAACAGTGGAGTGTGGCACATGACGCAAATAAAATTAAAGCCCTGGACACAGTACTATCTCTCTAAAGGTGATGTTACAAAGGACAATTCGCAACAACGATTTTTAGCGCAACACAGCGTTGCAATGTTGGAACAATGTTGTAACCATTCGAAACAATGTCAAAACAATGTTCAACCCTGTGTTGCACTAAAAATC